AAATTCCTTCTAGTTTATGAAATACAAGGTGATTTCTAAGAAACGCCTAAAAATATTCTATCAAATATTTCGAAAACTATTTATTTTCGGGACACAATTTAAATTTGAAAGTTTTATAATTTTTTTCGCTCTACAACAGGGCATCTTCAAATTTCGAATCCGACGTTTCGTGGTTAAGCTACCATCATCAACTTCATTTTTTTAAATAGGTACGGACCTGGATTTTTTATGACATTTTAAAAAAGCACCCTCTATTCTCTTTCCAATGATATATGTACCTCTTAAGTATTATTGGTCGACGTTTCTGATCTAAAAAGTGATCATCAGTGATTTTCACCAAAATTTCACCTTAATTTGGACCTAGTTATGATGAACCTGTATTTCAGAAACTAAAAGGAATTTGGCAACACTGTAAACGAATGGGCATCAAAAAAGGCAACTTTTTTCTAATTTGACCGACCTTGTAGCTTTTACCGTTTCGGATATAGCAATAGTGGTATCACTTAAAATATACACCCTGTATAAGGTACTCTAAAGTTCCTAGTACGGAGCCTTTCCCTATCAAATAGCATTGAAAGGTGATACATTTTACCTGTACCTGTGGACATCGGATTGTGAACAGGATATAGAGTGATTTTCGTTAGGGGGACAAACATGTCATTGAGGTTATGTGTGAGACGTCAGCTAGCACCTAATTGGTTGAAAAATAAAAATTTTAGAAGGGTGGTCAATCCTTAAGCGGGTCACACTGTATACCGGCACAATTTTTGCGGTCTTCTGCACTTCAGGATATTGCCCACTTTCTAGAATGTGGTTGATAATTTCTACTATTTTTTATTTTAGTGTTTCAGTGTCTTTTCTTGTTATTTTGTACAAACCAGGAGTAGAACTGTCTTTTAGCTCTTTTATTGTTTTTTCAACTTCTTTTATCTTTGAGTGTTGTAGTCCCATTCTTTTAATTTTCCAATATATGCATTTGTAACCCACGAATTATCATTTCTCACTTTTATCGTGGTCTGCTTAGTAAATTCTTTTTTTGTATTGCTTATAAGAGCTGCCAGTGTCTCAATAGTATATTGTGTATTTAGGTGGAAAAGTGACACATTCTCGGCCGACGGTGTAAGTTGACGGGCGAGGCGTAGCCGAGGCCGGCAAACACCGAAGGCTGAGAATGTGCTTTTCCACCGAAATACACATACTCTTTTTTCTGCGATCGGTTAAATACCTGTTAAATGTTTGTGTTTTGGTTCAAGTTATTCAGCAGTACGAGAATCACTTTCCCGGCCTAGGCCGGAAAAGTGTTTCCCGTATTGTTATTCATTGATTCCTTAGCAACTATTGAAACATAATTAAAATACCAGAATATTGAGTTTTGCGACCTGTCAACCGGTCAAAAATGATGACATTTCTTGTCAATCGCAGAAAAAATTATTATCATCACTCTCATTTGTTTTCCTGTACCTTGATTTTCCATTTTCTGGTTTCCAGTGTATTTTTTGTTTAGTATTTTTAACTAAGATTTTTTTGACTTCCAAAATTATGATTTTATGGTCAGAAATATTGTGATTTTCTATTTTCATGATACATTGTATATTTCTATTAGTTATTATATGATCAAGTATTGTTTGCCCAGCGGATCTGAGTCTACGGAAGGAATTCGGACGTAAATGTGCCATGTTGCCACTTTTAATTATAAAAAAGCGAAAATACTAGTCCTGAAGTATGATTCATTTGAAAATCCATTTTTTAATAACAAAATATTGATAACAATAATAAAACGCTAAATATTTCAACATGGTAGTTAGATCTATTTTTATTTTTATTCTGATTTCTTCAATTTGGTCTATTATAAAAAATTAACATTTTCTAGATACCAACAGCTTTTGACAATTTGGCAACCATCCGGCCTGGATGAACCTGATTGGTGGAGTTTTTGGCAGGATCGCTGTTGCCATGGGGAACTGTACGGTTGTCAATGAGCTAACGTCACCTTACGTCTCGCTATTGGCCAGGGCTCGCGTCATTTTATCCTCCCATCTTGGAATATCGATTTATATTGAAATATCCAGTGGCGGAGATTTGGTCATTGTCGATTTTCGTGTACGAATTGCAATACGATAACACTTCCAAAAAGTTCCGCACGCAGCTGGGTATTTTATGAATGAAATCAGCCATTTTTTTTACAACTGCATTCCCCTCACCGTTGCCCCGTAGGCATCAAAACATTCTGAAACCTGACCAATCAAATTCGATGTGGCTATTTCGGGTGGCATAATGTTACTACATGCGCTGAATCAGAGGTCAGAATGTCAGGACGATGATGGAGCTATTTGAAGGGTCAGAATGTTATTGCATGGGCTGGATTCAGGGTCAGAATGTTACAGGCGATAGAGCATTAGTATTAAATTTAACAAACAATGTTTGATGTTGAAAAATCTATAACTGTCTTTTGTTACATGTTATATAATTCAGAAATTTATGAATAAATGTATATTCATTCAGAAATTCATCAATATATTGATTAGGTAAATTGTTAGTTTTTTGATTGAAACGGAGGAATTGAGAAATATATCTATTTTGGATATAAGGGGTTAATAAATTTAGATTTAGATTTATTATATCTTGGCCGGAAATGCTTCTGCTTCGTTCAAGCTGGGACACCCTCTATGTAGATGCGTATGTATGTATTTAAAATTTCATAAATCTCAAATGCGAATTATGATGAAATAAACAGTTTTTTATATCATCATAATTCGCATTTTAGCACCCTGTAAGTATAATGTATGTACAGGGTGTCCCGACATTCTGACCCCTGATCTAGCCCATGTAGTAACATTATGCCACTCAAAATAGCCACATCGAATTTGATTGGTCAGATTTCCGGGGTATGGACTATGGCTAGATTGAGCGGCAGAATGTTTTGATGCGCCCCATGACACAGAGTCGCTGGGCAGACAATATGGTGGCTGTGTTTGCTGCTGTTCTTGTGGCATTTTGACGACTGATTATATTTTTAAATTTGTATCCATTCATCTCCACTCCATATTTTTATATGTGGTAACTACCTGTGAATTTTTTAGGAGATCCAGGTAATGTCACCAATAATAAATATAGGTATTTACAGGGATTTTTTATGTTTTCGAACAGTTTGTCCACTTCTTTTATAAATAATTTGCTTTTGTTTTTTGGAAGTCTATATTGGTACCTACATAAAAGACTGTCATGTTTCGCTGTGGTAAATATACAGAGACCATGCTACAATTTGTCAAACATGTTGTTGGTTTGCTGTTCAAAAAGTATGTTATTCCATTTTTCACATAAAGGCTTGCACCTTCCCCCTAGAGTAGTTCTACAATCATGTACAGCAGTATATGATGGTATGTTGAAATAGCCTTCTTCACCAGGGTAGATCTATGTCTCCGTAAGCACAATTATGTGTATCAGTTTTTGACTTTGTAGTACCATGTCATTGAGATCACTTATTTTGTTTCATATGCTTCTAATATTGACATACAAGATATTTAAGGTTTTCCGCTGCTACCATTTTGACAATTGCTCTTTTTTTATGTTTTACTAAAGTATATTTCTTGCATTTCAATTATTCAAAATCTTGGCTTCTTATTCTAATGGACCGGTCGCTTTCACCTTTCTTTAGGTATACTTTGCCATTTGTGATAAATGCTGCCTTATAATATAATTTTTCTCCTTCTTATACTCCCTTGCTTCCTTGTAAATTAGCTGGTTTAGACGTGTCAGATCTTCATTGAAGAATATGTTCTTATTTCCTCCAAGTAACCCACACTCATTAAGCTTTATTCCTCTCAACTCTTCAATTTTCTCAAGCATTGTACTTCTAATTTCATGGATTTTCAATTTCAACGTTACAGGAGCATCTTCTTTGGAATTTATTCTGTAAATTTTCTTGATATCTTCATCTTGCATAGTGACTTTCATAGCTGTAAATACTTTTTTCAAGTTTTCTCTTGCCTCTTCATTTTGCTTAGGTATTCCTACCACTAGCAAATTGCCCTCTTTTTTTTTCTGTTCTGATTCGTTCAGTCTATCTTCCATGTCTGCAACTCTGCCCTTTAGCTCTTAATTTTCTTTTTTTGTTATCTTCATCTCGCCTATCATTTCATCAATTTTTTTTTGATATTCATAATCACAGATAGACTGTGAGATAGGAACTGTTTAGTGGAGTCATTTTTTTTTACTGGCATTTTGAGGGTTGAATGTGGCTAGTTAGCTGATGAGAATATGGGTGATTTAAATGCCTGCTCCATGTTCGAAAGTTTGGAGAAGAAAAAAATTGATTTACATGAAGAATTTTTTTTTTAATGATCTCAAATTTCCTGCCTTTTAAATAAAAGATTGACATTGATGAATAATTCACCTATAAAAAATACCAGATGCTTTTCAATAGCTGAAAAAGTGGGGATAAGTGAATAAAAGGTTTTGTTGTGAAAATAACGTTGAAAAATTACCAGACGGTAATCACAATTTGAAATCGAGTTTTCCGGCGAAACATTCTGTGGACATTTCAAACAGGGAGCAGGCATCAAAACCACTTACTTGTATTCTCATCAGCTAACTAGCCACAATCAGCCCTCAGAATACCAGACAAAAAAAAAATGACTCCACTGAACAGGCCCTACCTCAGGGTCTAAGACTAGTTCAATCTGTCCGTCATTCACAATTATTATTGAAATTAACGCACGGATTCCCTTAAGTTGCAGTTGGTTCAATTTTTCCGTGTGTTACGTTAATTTTCTTAATTTTTAAGTGGATGTAAACAACTACATATAAGTGATCTGCAACTTTTCTTTATTATTAATTTTTTATACGTTAAGTAATGTAAATGGCCCTTTACAAAACCGGCATTGTCAGTAGTCGTTTTTAGTCTTGAGGCTCCAACTTTTTGAAGCAAAGTCATAACAGGATAAAATATCAATCCATAATAATTTGGCAACCAAATTGATGCCATTTTTTTTGTTCTATAGATTACAAGAAGACCCACCAACCGGTGTCAGTGGCGCACCCACTGATAACAACATAATGATATGGAACGCCGTGATATTTGGTCCGCACGACACACCATTCGAAGACGGCACTTTTAAATTAACCATCGAATTCACCGAAGAATACCCCAACAAACCGCCAACGGTGCGATTCGTTAGCCATATGTTTCACCCCAACGTTTACGCCGACGGCGGAATATGTTTAGATATATTACAGAATAGGTGGAGTCCCACCTACGACGTTTCTGCTATTTTAACCTCAATTCAGGTAAAAACTTTTGGATCTAAATATTTATCAATATGTATTAATATATGTTTTATTGTTTTAGTCATTACTTAGTGATCCAAATCCCAATTCTCCGGCGAACTCAATGGCGGCACAACTCTACAAAGAAAACAGACGAGAGTACGAGAAGAGAGTGAAAGCGTGCGTAGAGCAAAGTTTTATTGACTAAAACCTGTGAGACCGGGTCAAAAAAAAAAAAAAGATATAAAATTTAAAAAAATACATGCTTCAAACTTATCAAGGCTACAAATTATTTGTTGTTTAATTTGCATAGGCGATAATTTGTTTAAATAAAATTGTATTAGGGATTTTTTTTTTTGTTTGTAATTATTATTTAATTTGTGTGAGACGGGGCAACTGTATGAGCTTTTTCTCTATTTAATTTGTCGCTTGTATTTATTGGTTTAATAGAGCACTGTTATTAGAATTTTTGTCACACGTGTTAGTTTTCATCTTCCATCAATGTATATAGTGGCGCCTTTTTGAAACTAAGTCTGCGTAAAAGCTCATACGTTTCTGTCAAAAAAAAAAGTGGGTAGTAGAAATAATTAATTTCAACTTTTTACAATAGCTCAGTTTCAACAGACATGAGAACCGTTTTAGAACCAGTAACTTCCAGTTGCCCACTCAATAAGCCGAGGTTTATCCTAATTGATCGACTGGAAATTACCATTCAAAAAAGGTTCTAATGTTTGTTGGAACAGAGATAATAATTACAGTGTTGAATTGTGTTTTCTGTGTATTTTTCTGAACCAAGCTCTTTACTAAAAATACAGATATGTGTTACTATAATATAAAAAGGAAAAAAATCATTACACTTAATAAATTATTAAAAGCTTAGGTATGTTTTATTTTCATATATAAATTTGAAAACAGTATACAAAGTGAACATTCTCATCAATTAAACTTAATCTAATTTTAAAAAGAAACAGATTTTTTTTTTTTTTTGATAATTTGGTTGGCAGTGAATTTTCACTAAATTTTAAAAACAATTTTCTTATCAGAGTAAACAATTAAATCTATAAATTTTATATTCTTGACAATTTAGTTTGGATATTCCTAACTTGATTAACTAGAGCGTCACTGTTGGCCTTGGTGTATAAATTTGACAACAACGTCGTCATGGTGTCTTGACATGTTGCTACAATTTTCCTCCTATAAAAAAAAAAGTTAGGAAGGCTTTTACGGAAACGCTGATCCAATTAACCCGATCACTAGCTGTTTGTTTTTCATCTCTCTTCAATGAACACGATTAAAAAGAGACAAAATACATCAGCTGGTGGGTTAGCCAGATCCGCGTTTCCGTAAAGGCCTAAAGTATGATTCCCATAGAAAGCACATGCGCATAATATTGTAACAATTTGAAGATGGTGAAAGGAGTGGGATAAGATTTGGCGGTTTACTCTTAGTATAATATCTTAACTTTAATAAATTTTTTGCCTTTGAAACTGTTGAGATGATGAAATAAGGGAAAGCATTTTCATAGGGATTTTTAAGATACCAAAATATTTAAATTGAAATTTTGATTATTCTACATTGTTTTCAATTTGATTTGTTTTAACGGCGCAATATTTTGATTTTCAAGATGATGATTTTGTAGAAATGGAATTCTGACCAGAGTTTTGAAGTTTGTATATGATATTATGATTTTCAACGAAACTCTCAGATTTTGGAGATAGGTGTGTGAGTTTGTTAAAAAGACGATCTTATTATCTCAAATTTTAAAATACCTATATAATGAGAAAAGACACTTTCATTACAATCTTAAGCAAAGCTTCTATAGTAATATTTAATATATATATAAGACACAATTTCAAAGATAATATTCTGAGAATCAATTATGCTTTTCATTAAATTATTTATCTAGAAATATTTGCACTTACTTTTCAATGCTGCTAAACGCATTGTGATTGTTTATAAATGACATAACTAAAGCACAAGTAGATTCGCACAAGTGAAATTCATGATCTTCGTTTTGCCAAAAATTTAAATTTCCTGACAAATTAAGCAGACTAAAAATTTCAAACAAATTATTATCAGACTCACTACACACAATTAAATTGCTTACCTCGAGTAAACTTCAATCAACCGCTGAAAATCGATATTGACTTCGATAAAAGTATTCGGCACTAAACCTTTGGGCCCTCTGAGCTTGGCATTGATCATTTCCAATTCTGAAGTGATATACGACAACGGAAACGAATTGTCCGAGCTCCCGTAGAGCCGGGCTAAATTTTTGACTTTTTGCAAAATCGGTTTTATTCGATCAGCGCCTCCCGTTGTCGTTTTTCGTAGTTCGTTGGCCAAAATTTCTTGCCAGATCGACGTCGCTAGGGCGTTATTGTTATCCGTGTACCCTGCACAATCTATGATGGCTAATTTACATTCTAGGAGGTTAAATGGTTCTGCAAAGTTTTCATACAGCTAAAAATAATATTCTTCATCAATGAAAACTTATTATCATTTATTATCCAATATTAACCTGTGAAATTTCATAAAGTCCACTATTCAAAGCCGAAATGGCCTCGTCGGCGGTGGCAATTTGTGTCCTGAAATTGGTAATGTCCTCCAAAATGAGATTTTGGACTTTGGCAACTTCGATTTTATCCTCCAGATCTCTCAGAAACATACCGGAATCTACAGAGTAGCCCGTCTTATCGCATCTCATACACATTATGGCTCTCGCTAGATAAGTCAGTCTTTCTTTTAGAGGTATATTAATACTGAAAAAAAAAAACTTGTCAAATGACTAAACTGGCTTTGGATTGACCCAAAACATAAAAAAAAATCTATTGATCTTGATATGTGTCTCAATCAGAAAGCACCAATCATAACTACTGACTGACTGCATGTGTTATTGTCATTATTGAACAAACTACCCATAAAAATTAATTCAACTTTCAAAAAAGTATGATAATAATACAAAAACATTCTCTTACTCTGTTCTACTGGCCAAATTATGTAAAATCTTAGCAGCCAACGCATGGTTAGAATTAGTCTCGTAGTATTGCCATAGCAAATTCATCACTACAAGATTATTGGGATTTTGCATGGAGGCTTTTTTCAAATAAAGTTCCAAAGAACGTGCCTTGATTTGAAGTATATCACTAGTCATTTGCCTAGAAACCATCCACTCGTAAACTGCCACATGCATTATTTCGTCATCGTAAAACAAGATTGTTTGAATTATATCATTTATCTAAACAAAAAAATCTGCATATTAAACTATAATTTTAGCATTGTATTTACTTACACTTTCACCTAATTTAGGACCCTCAGTACCATCAAGCAATATAGATCTAGTATTAGTTAAATCAGGATCGTAAGTTGCAGGCTGCACAGGATCTTGTTCGCAATACAAAGTTTCAAGCATTACAATTATTTCCCTATAAGTTTCCATTCGTTTGTGGTACATTTTAAGACCGTCCTCATCAGCATCGTCATCCTCACTGTGAAAATAACTCTTAGCAATATTGTCGGGGTCTATCCTTCTAGCACAGTAGGCGCAAAGTTCTATGACAGCCTTGTAAGCTTTTAAGGCAGTGAATTGTTTGCAAACCACAGGAAGTTTCACATTTGGAGCTATATTTTTGCAGAGTTGCAGCGCCGTTAAAAGTTTCTCTTCTCTTTCATCTACGTTTTGTATGCCTCGTGTTGTTTTGAGAAGTTCGCTGGCCTAAAAATGATTTATATTTTCTGAGACGAGTTCTGTACTCATTAAAAATAAAAAATTTCAAAAAATACAACTTACCTTCGTGAAAGCAGCATCCTCAGGCTTATACAAATGCGGACAAACCTCCATAAGCCTATTACTAATAGCGTCCACTGAAGCATTATCACCTAAATAGCTATTCACCAAAGTTTGTATTAAAACAGTGCAAATGTCTTTTCTGAAAAGGAACAATTCCTTGAAAGTAGTCTTCTGCAAAATTTCCTGGTCGTTGTCCGGCAAACAAGCGACCAGCTCGTGAAATTGATGATCGCACAATATCCTCCACAAGCCCATAATTTGACAACAATGACACAGAAAAGTCTTTAGGGCATCCAAAGACTTGCGTTCTATAAGTTGAGCGTCCTGAAGTGTGACAGGCTGACGCACCAAAGTTTGATTCAATGTAGAATTATGAATTGCCATTTGATTAGTAGTTCCAGAAAAATCAGTATTTAAAGTCAAAAAATTGTGCAGGGCATTTAAATTATTTTGCAATTTGATACAGTCTTCTACAGATATGCTGCTTTGAAACAAAGCGAATTCACCATCAGGACAGAAACGTTCCACACAATGTCTATTCCAAATAAGCCTTAAAATTCTGCATAAATATAAGTACAAGCCGTTGTGTTTATGGGAAAAATTAATAAAAATACTTGGATCAAAGGGCTGTACAAAAGATTGTTGTTGTTGTTGTTGCATTACACTTCCTGTTGTCATATAATTAGGCGATTGTGGCCGTTCAGCTACATAACTACCAATTTGAGGCCTTTGAGTTACATTAAACATATAACCAGGAGGCGATTGTGTTCTTTGCATGTGGTATTGTTGATTTTGCGGGGCCGGGGTGGAAATTATTTGCGGCGAAAACATTGTAGAACCTAAAACTGATTAAATTTTTATTGAAAATTGTTGCTGCAAGGGTAAACTTACGAGTAGTATTTTGTTGATGAATATTCTGTTGATTGGCTTGTATTAATTGAGGCTCTCCGCCAAATAGGAAAAAGGCTCTTGTGGCTAATTCAGCTATTTCGACATTTTCTTCGCTCAATAGTGAAGCTAAAATTAGGCTAGTAGCACAAGCTTGGACCTCGCTTTGTATCGAGAAAAATGTGGTGAGAGGTAATGTATCTTGACCTAGAAAAATAAGAGGTTTATATTATTTAATTTTTTTTCAGTAAATAACTATTACAGATACAGATTATGGCACAAAACTAAATATGGCATGCCTCCACATTTTGACCATTTACTCAAAAACTACTCTAGGCGCAAATATAAGACTTTGAGGGAATATTTTTGAGGCTTAGAGGCAAAACATACTAAAAATTCAAATCAATAATCAATTGAATGAAAAATTGCAAAGTTTACAAGGTTTGAACATTTTCTTCTATATGACTAAATGTCACGACAAAGGACTCCGCACTAATCTTATGGAAATTGGGTCCCGGCTAAATTTTCTGCAACTTTGGTATATGATAGTTTTTGAACTTCTGATCAAAAGCTATCATTGCGCAAAAGCGTTACCATCGTTAGTTTTCAAGATATTGGGTCTTTTTTTTTTGGTTTTTTGGGTCGTACTCGTAAGCGGTAAACGTCAAAAGGTTTTGACGTGTTCTGAAACTCGAGTCTGTTTGATCAGTTTTTGAAGTGAAAACCTTTTTAGGCGTGTCTCAATGAGCGGGTGTTTTCGCCCAATATGTTATTATGTTGGAGTTGTTTACATTTTTGTTTAGTTTGTATTACGTATTGTTGGATCTGTTCGCGCAGAAATCACAAACCAGTCAGAGTTAATATCATTGATTGTGAAACTAGTTTTGCGACTGTTTTCACCCAATTACGCAATCTCAATCACGTGATTTTATATGGCCGTTCAGGATTGGTCTTTTAACATTTTTTTTAAGCATTAAACGTCTTAGCCTAGATTATCTAGTACAGGTAGTGGACATAGATGAAATATTGTACTTTATTAATACAGTTCAAGTACTAAAAGTACCCATAACATTTGGAAAAATGTTAAATAATATTCATTACAATGACAATGGTGGATGATATGAAATGGCTCTCAAATGGCTTATAGAGATTCCATTATTTTTTTATAGGAATACTTCAGAGTCGCTTAGCATTAAAATGACCTACAAAATAAGGCTTGAAGTTGGACATAACATCCTCAAATACAGAAAATTCCTAAAATTTTATTTTAAAATAGCAAAATTTTTAAAAATCCTTACCATTACTATCCAGCAAAATCTGTTTAAGCATATCCACCGGTCTCAATTTAATAAACACTTGAACACTGTGAGAAGTGAGCACCACATACTTTTTGGGCGCCTCTGCATGCTGCCTGACCACCAAAGGAGGTTCTTCTTCATTTTGAGGATTCAAATGTAGAAAATCTTCATGTCGAATTTCCGCCATAGCTAAAGCGGGCGCGTCCAAGTTGATAGTTGTGTAAGCCTCCTTCAAATTATAGCTGAAAGGGAATAGGTCCGAGCTTAAGCACCACAAAACGTCTTTGTGGTTTACTGTAGTTAATAAAATGGCGTTACGGTCTCTGTAGTAGCCAATGTGTACGTCTCTAGGTCTAACAGTGATATTTGCAGAAAAACCTGGTGGTAATCGGACGTGGGCTAAAGTTAAAGCATAAGGGCGAGCATTGGGTTGCTGATATGATAATCCAGTGACAGTGAAATAAAATCTTACGCCACTTTTGGTGATGGCAACGAGATTTAAATTTGTTGATTCATAAGCTTCAATTGGAGCAATGCTGACAATTGGCCGAAAAGCCCCACTGTCTAAAGTTGTAACTGTATGCAAAACTTGATGAACAATGCTTTTTTGGGAGAGTTTAATAATTCTGGAAAAACTGTTGCCTCTTTCGCCTAAATCACAAACTTCTATTGCTCCTTTTTCTGTTAGAGTGTACAAAATATTTCTGGATTTGTCTATAACTATTTGGAAAATTCCATCTTCTTCGCCTAGAGCTGCATTTATGAATGATGGTACAAGGAATGATAAGCGACTAGTTGAAAGGTTTACAATTTTACAACGTTTTCCAAACCAACCACTTGCTGTCTAAAAAAAAACAAGCAATTTGAATCAATAGTATTTATAAATTTATACTGCTATTCTTACCTGGTAAGTTATTTCAAATAAAGAACCCTCTTTAGTACCAAAAAATATTCTGCCATTATTTGCAGCAGTTATAGTTGTAATTGTATTACCATCAGTGGAAATGCTGAATACTGGATCTGGAATTAAATGCATCTCTTCCTCCACCCCATACTTAGCTTAAATTGAAAATCCAATTAAAAATTTAAACATTAAAAAACTATGACACAATTATTACCTTCTGTAAAAGTGACTCCAAGTACTATAATATCCGTAGCAGTAGCCACCACCAACAAGTACTTGATAAACTCATGAAGAACTCCTGGTTTAGGCTTAACAAGGCCCACACACAAAATGGTTTGACTGATACCATCAAAATAAGCCATATCTATGTTAGTTTCATAAGTCCAAATATAAAGATCACTATCGGCGATTAGCCAAGCCCTGTTTATTTCTGGAAATAGCCCCATAGTGCACTGATACTGAGCTTGACTGAAATGATCCGATATTCCTGGAGGCAGAGGGTTACTGCTAACATTTTTGATCTGGACCAGATCGCCCAGAGCCATATTATGCATATCATTGTTGCTCAGCACAGGATAATCAGAATCCACAAAACCGGTATAAGTTGGACCCGTTTCCGCGTTTATATTCATCAAGTCAATCAGTTTGGGGGCGCAGGCGTCTTCGGCAAGAGCTTTGTCGATTTGACTGGCAGCCACTTCCATTTTCGGCAACGGGAATTGAGTATTTTGAGACTTTTGTGTGGAATTCATCGTTGAGCTTGTGTTTATCATCGTGGTTATAACCTAAAAACACTTTTTATGGTCCTTGAATTTTGGGAATTAATTTATAATCTAATGTTAACTAGCTTTGCTTTGATGCATTAATGAATAGTTTTGCATTGTTCAATGAGGAGAGTTTTTGGTTTGGATATTGAGTTTTAGGACATGAAAATGGAAAGACATCAACAGAACAACTTGGCTTGGGAAATTTTAAAACCCGCTAAAAAAATAATGCAGAGAGAGCTGTCAACAAAGGTTTATCGATATTCATAGGTGTCGATACGATATTCTTTCGAAGTCTCTATTCCTTTTTCTAATTATCGATATTAATATGAGAAAATATCGATACTGTCGATACGATATTACAAGGTGGATTCGGCTTGCTCACTCCGAGTGACTCCATTCGCACTCCAGCCGTTCGGGTTAAGGTTCGGGTATTGCTTTTTACCGTATTAGGGGTGACTCCATTAGCTCTGTTCACTCCACTCCAACTCCGCGCTGAATAGCCGAACCCAGGTACAGATTTTTCCTTTTTTAGACTTTTTTAGCTGAGAAACCGACCCTAAGGCGTACGTTCGGTAATTCTCAAGTCGGCAAGGTCTGCGAGTGACGGCATCACCACCATCAGCCAATAGTGGTGACGCCACTCGCAGACCTGGATGGAATTTTTGCGAATAAGAATGTGCCTGTAACTTAAATTTTTCGTCGATCTTAAATGTAACAAAGGTGATTTTAAAGATTTTGACGTTTAGAAATTCGTTTTTTTTTTTACCTATAGTGTTTCAAACTTGGATAATGCATTTTACGCCAAGAGTTGGGATCTGCGGTTGAAATTCTCGAGTAGGCATGGCCTGCGAGTGACATCAACACTATAAGCAGCATAGCAGCGTATAGAGGTGACGTCACCCGCAGGCCTCGATGAGACGCTTGCGATTCAGGTTATGCTTGTTTTTTCGGCGATTTAAAATGTAGGAAAAGGTGATTTCAACAAGATTATAACGTTCAGTAAAGTCTGTTATTTTTTTTTGTAAGATAAAAGTCAAAATGACATTATGTTGGCAATAGTTGTATTCCTTTCACACCTAGAAAGAGCTCCGGCCACGCATCTCTTTCCTCTTTCTTTCAAATTGGGGTCGATTAACACCGGAGCGAGTAGCTCAAGTGTTTCAACCTCTTGAAAGGAATACAACTAATGTGAAATTATCAATGCTTTCAAATTTTTTATGTAGAAAAGGCTTGTGTTGCCTACATAGTTACTAAATTTTTGACTTGGGGAATTATTTTAAAAAAAAAAACAGACTTTAATTCGTTTTTTTGAAAATAGTATACTATTTTAAACTCGGCTAATCCATCCAATCAATATGGTGGCCAAGGCAAGCAGTGAAATTCTCCTAGCTCGAATTCACCGTTCGTTTATGGAAAAAGTGTGCTCGGTGCAGGCTCATTCGCGTTCGTTTATTAAAATTTAAAGAACCATGATCAAGGTTGATTGAGAGAGGCAGGTTGCCTGATAAGTTTCATGACGTCATCTGTATACCTAAACATAATGCAAATCTCCATGTGGCACCCCCAATGAACTATAACCAAAACTGGAATGCGCACACATATTGACGAACGTGAAGCCTAGTGCCGCTGCTGCGGAGAGGATGCCTGTTTTTGTCGCACTCATTACGTTAAATGGCGGAAATTGCTTTCACCACGTATTCCAATTGATGAAATCTGTGTAGGTAAATATAACAAAACTTTCTAAAATGTCATATGCCAACGAGCAACAGAAAAGAACAACATTCCCCCTTGTGGCATCCGTCTTCATTTTTCTAGTGGATATGGAAATGTGTGCGCATTCCAGTTTTTGATTATAGTTCATTGGGCACCACAGATGCGTCATCAAGTTACCCAATACCAGATAACCTGTTAACTTGAGGAACCTTGGGCTATGATACAGCGTTTAACTGCTTTGTGCGCTCGCTGGTCACGTGATTACTGCTTCGCTTCAGCATGCTCCGCTTGCTCAGCTCTTTGAGCAAAATACCGAAAGCAAGGTTTGTTATAATCATAAAACAGGTTTCTGTGTGGTATTTTTTTAAGGGCCAAATAATGCACCAACTGGTAAGTGTCTGGTTGTTACCTAGCAGGTACTTTCTGTTCTCTAGAGGATAGAAAGTACCTGCTAGGTAACAACCAGACGTTTACCAGTCAGTCCATAATTTGGCCCTAAGGCGATTTTTCATCGCTATTTTAAAATAGAGAGTCTTTACATTAAGAAATTAGTTATTAGTGCAAAATTTGAAGGTAGGCAGATATCTGACCATAGCCCACAAGAACGGCTTCCACAACAAGAGCTGCTTTCTAGTGCCTAAATTGTTAGTATCATGCTCCTGGAGTGTGACACTCTTGAACTGTTCGACATAAGCAGCACTGGAACGCTCTCGTCTTAACCCCCACCATTTCGGACTAGGAGCATGAAACACCGAAAAAATGGTCGGTGCACGAGGGGACGGGGGATAACAAAAATGAGTAGTTCAAGTGTACGACACTATGGGTCACTGGAAAGCACTTCAGTACAACAATACATATTGCAGATATTTTTTAAGAAATAAATGCGTCACACCCATCAAAAACCGCAATTTAGAGGAAAAAAATCCATAAAACGTAGGTTTTAAAACAAACACGTATCACGGATGACAGATGCTTAACCTATGCCGCCATATTGAATCCATTTTCTCGACGCTATTACTATTATTTGTTTTCAATTTTCATTTTCTAATCATCGTCTGATTTTTTCGAAGACTCCTCGAGTGCATAAATCATATTTCCAGCAATAACTAATGGAAATAGTTCATTCAGAACGAAAAAACGAACACCACCACTTTTACTGGATACAGTAGCTTTCCATATGCAGCAAACAAAGTACTAAACCTTTAAATAAGTGACGTATTGGTGACGTCATAAGCTATTTTTTGAGTAAAGTATTTTGGAACGCTTCCCAGTAAATTAGGCAATTCAGACCAAGGATAATACACATTACTACATATTGCCTATCGGCCTCGTTTTCGGAAAACTCGGCCATATTTTGTAACACCATTGAGAACGTCATCGAGTACATCGTCAGCTGTTTTTGTTTTTATGAAAAATATTATTTAATTTTAATATAATAGGCAAAGAGGAAGATGGAAACGAGATCTAAGAGAGTGTTGTTTTAGAATGTTAATTAATATACTAAAAACGCATAAAGCAAGGACCCGCGGAATCATATAACTTGTGGTGCAAACACCTAAAGCCCGGGACACATCTATCATACAGTCTTCCGATCCGACTCCGATCATACAATCAGGGTCCTCATTCTTGGAACAGGGAGCAGCGTTCCCAGGAGAACGAGTGTTCCGCTGCTCCCCTGTTTCAAGAATAAGGACCTTGATTGTATGATCGGAGTCGGATCGGAAGAATGCATGATAAATGTGTCCCTGGCTTTAGTCAAGGCGAGAAATGACACGCTGTTACGTCATCAGTGGTATGGGGCTTAAGATTTGATTTGCACGGGCCTAAGGATAAGCGATCAGTAGTGTGTATTAATGAGGCGCGTTTCCACCGAAAAGTTGGCAACTTCTATGTTGGCAACTCTTCCGATAGTCACAAACTTTTTTTTTCACAGCGATTAAAATAAAGTCATCAACATTTTGGCTGAGTTCGGTTTTACACACGGAAACACGGTTCTGGACATTTTTGTGTACAATTTTGGTTAACAACATGGGAAAATTTTAGAGACTTTTGTCACCAATACGTGTTGGCAACACAAAAGTCGCCAATTTTCCGTTGGTGGAGACGCGCCTTCACCCTTGAATGATTACGTGATTCGATGAATGTGATGGCCGTTCAAGTCGATTGTGATGACGTTCATAAGAAACAAGGAGAATACATATATTACTACAGGATAGTTTATTCTCATAAGGCCTGTGTGGATCAAATCTCAAGCCCCCCTCCAGACCAAAAAACCAGTTATGACGTGGACAGCGTTTCATTTCTCGCCTTGACGTAGGGTGTTTCATCCTTGGGGTGTTTGCACCACAGGTTATGATTCCGCTGGCTTTCGCTTTATGCATACTTGGTTTTAGTACTAATTAACATTCTAAAACAACTCTTTTTAAGATCTCGTTTGCATCATCATCACAGTTGATGAGGTCGTCAATGGTGCCACACAATATGGCCGCGATTTCCGAAAACGTGGCTGATAAGCAATCCTGTGTAGTAGTGTGTATTGTGTGCATAAGAAGAGCATTCTGGCCCAAGAACGATAAACCACAAGAGGATAGTCGCTTCTCGTAAGCGTCGCGTTCGCCAATTCTAGCCGACCGCAAAGGTGACCGGACGTGTGACGTACTCGGGCCTACTCAATCTAAAGATTTGGTATAAGGGCCGGTTTCTCAATTACTGTATTCCTTTTATACATCGAGTTACACCGAACGAGTTGCTCTAGAGCTCTCCAAAGTCACTCCAAAACACACAATTTAGATATTATCATTATTCTTCAATAACATTACCTAAAAGGGCTTCTTGCACCCCCGCAAATTTGGTGCATCAGGAAAAAAAGGGTTGCACTATGAGCGACTCGAGTGCTTAACGCACTTTTAAAAGGAATGTTCAAGCTTTTGATATTGAGCAGCTCCGAGTAACTCAACAGGTAAAAGGAATACAGTAAATAGCAAGTCACCCTGTTAACCTTGCGTTCGGTATTTTGCTCAAAGAGCAGAGCGTGCTGAGCGGAGCCGTAATCACGTGACCAGTGAGCGAACAGAGCAGTTGAACGCTGAATAAAAGTGCCAGAAATTTTAATAAACGAACGCGAATGAGGCTGCACCGAGTACACTTTTTAAATAAACGAACGGTAAAGTCAAGCTCGGAGAACTCGGACCAAAATAACGAACGCACGGAAAGTATAACTCCAGAGGGTTAACATAGCAACTGGACACGTTTACTCTGGAGTTAAAATCAATCCGGAGGTGACTCGCTATTAAGAAACCGGCTCTAAGTTACATTGCTCCATAATGAGAATTCGAGAAGTTTAATATAAAATTTGACGAAATTTATTGCATTAAAAGCCAAAATAACATCATTAATGGGTAAACCATATTATCCTCCTATACCAATAACGCATAAAACTTGTTTCGAGTGGGCCAGGTGACTTCATTACTGCAGCGCGTGATCGCGCTAAACTGGCGGAAAAAAACACCGATCCTCTGTGATTTATCATTCTTAGTTCTGGCCCAAACTGGCTCTTGTTGTTGTAGATGCCAAACATGACAATGCCAATGTCAAACCTAATTAAACCACAGCATATACAAAAACAATAGGCAATTTTCAGCCTGGAATGATTATCTATCGGTAAAAACCGTGGTTATTCTTTTGGTTGACAACTTTGACAGCCAAGTGTGACGTCATAGCCCCCCACCATTCAAGAATCATAACCCAAGGAACTGAACGCTGAAATGATTTGGTTATAGCAGTGTAGGATTATGTTTATTATTCTTATTTGTTTTTTCGTTTCAACAATAGTTTTTTGTTTAGGAAAAAAAAAATGGAGCTGAATCACTTTAGGTTTTTTTCTTTTATGTCACAGAGTCGTATTGGCTTTAAATAAACTGATTTATTATTACATTACTTACATACAATAATGTTTATAATTACCTACCTATTTATTATTATGATTGAATATACAAGAATGATATCAGATAACACCATAAATGAAAACACGAATATATCAAAATCAATTTGAAAATCATACCTAGCTAAAATTCCGCTCTACACCGCACGCCTATGATTTCCGTCAGAAATGAATAAATAAAATAAAATGTCTGCGCCCCTGCCGTCTAATGACAGGATGATATCCCTTAATGGCGGCGTGCGCAGGCATGCACTTTCTCAATCGCAACTGACGTCATCTGCCCTGCGTTATATCTGCGTGTACGCAAAGTTGCATCAATTTCAAATAAAGCCCCCCAGAATGTGACATAAGCAGTTTTTCATTTTTGTCAGTAAACTGCACGTAAACTGAATGTAAACAACACGGTGTCTGACCTTAACGACCTATTGAATTTTGTGTGACAGGCGGTCAATAAATTGCCTTAGGGCGGGTATTATAAAACTATATTGACAGATAGCAAAAAGTTAACTTGTGGAATTACTATGGAAAGTAACGTCATTCCAGAAGTTAACTTCTAAGTTAACTGTCAAATTAGTTTTATAATACCCGCCCTAAGGGTCGGTTATTCAAAGCTGGATTCGGCTGTTCAGCACGGAGTTGGAGTAGAGTAAGAACATATTTTTGTCACTTGATCTAGGAGTGATTAGAGTGAAAAATTAATACACGAACGACCGGAACGGTCGGAGCAAAAATGTCAAAAAGCTGATTTGTTTTGTTTCAAAACAACAGTCAACCGTGACTTTACTACGTTCCAGTTCCGATTTTTTTTTTCATTTTTGTCTTTGTTCTTTCGTGTACTATAAAATTAACTTCAATTCCTCCAAAATAATGAATAATATGATGCTTTTGCCTCTGTTTAACTTAGTCAAGGAAATTTTTCCATCATGTTTAATTAAAATAACAACCAAAACTTGACAACACGATGCTAGCTTGACAGTTTCCACGTTTCACTTCTGCGCATGCTGACTCTAAAAAATTCTCTTTCCAAGGTGGATCTTTTGGAGTGAACTCCATTTATTCCCATACGTATAGTCGAACGCTAATGGAGTCACCCCTAATACGCCAAAAAGCAATACCCAAACGGCTGGAGTGTGAATGGATTCACTCGGAGTGCACGGAGAGCACAAGATTTTATCGATACATATCGACATATTCGTATCGATATGCTCGAGGGCGTATCGATGTCAATATCGTATATCGTATCGATGTTTATAACTATAATTTCTCTTCTCACTAATGGATAAGTCTTGTTGTCATGCTGTCAACTTAGCTGTCAAATGGTGTCATCTCCATTTGTTTATTATTTGGATTCATATAATTAATTGAAATTTTTTTCAAAAAAAACTTTTTACAAGCGAAAATGGGTGGAAAACAAAACAGAACACGAAATAATGTTAGGGTAAGTACCAAAAAAACTATTTATTATTTAATGACAAGCCCATTCTCTCCATATAAAAAGCATACAGCTGCTTGAACATCCACATACCCCTTTTTGAGCAATTTCGTATACTCAATTATAAATCAAACTTTCCTATATCTTTTCGCAGCCCTCAAACAGTGGTCGTAGTGCAGCAATGCTTAACTCCACCCTACCTCAATTCACAGGCTTTTCCGGATCAAACGAATCCACCAAGTTACCCTCGTTTTCCTTCAACCGCGCAGACGAATTCGAATCTTCTTTGGACGACAATTTCCAGTTGGTTTTGAAAAAAGTCTCCAAAAAGGACAGCACCACAAAACTGAAAGGACTACAAGAGTTTGCTGACATCCTCGAAAAAGCTGATCCCCCAATAATTAAAACCCTTCTACCTATTTGGCCAAGATATTATAGTATTTTAGCAATACATCCAGATAATAGAATAAGAGAGGCCGCACAAAATGCTCACCGTGTTATCGTTTTGAAAGCCAAACGTGATATTGCACCTTATTTGAAGCAATTGATGGCACCCTGGTATACTTCTCAGTACGATAACTATCCTGCGGCTGCAGCAGCTGCAATAAAAGCATTCAAAGATACGTTTTCTCCAGAAAAACTCAAAGAAGCTATTTTATTTTGTCAACAAGAAATTCTTAATTACATACATGATAATCTAGTGAATCAATCTGCTGAAAATATGCTGTCTTCAAGTCAACTCTCATCTGAAGAAGCTGAAGCTAGATACGAAAGAGTTGTGATATCTTGCCTGCAAGGCTACGCAATGTATTTAAAAGAGGCAAATAATGAAAAAATTAACGAGTCTTTGGATTTGAATAATCAAATTATAACAAATAAAAAGTTTTGGAAATTTGCTTCCAGTAAGGTGGCTTTAGTTAAATCTTCTTGGTTTCAAGTAATTTCAGTTATTCTTCAAAAAGCTGATTATTTACTAAGCAAGAAGGAAACGCAAACATTATTGTTGACTATTTTGAATAATTTAAACGATGAAGAACCAACTGTTTTGCCTCATATTTGGGAGTGTCTCCTGTTAGCTACATCTACCGAAGAAAGATGGAAATGTATAAACATAGAGCAACAATTTACACCAACGATAATGAGCATTTTGAAACAAGCCGGTAATGATAATGCTGCTTTAATTTACCCAAACTTTTTGCCTCTTATTTCAAATGTGCCTTTATTAGATGAGAAAAAGAAACAATTTTATGCAAGCTTTTTTGAAAACATGAGTGTAGGACTTAAATTGAAATCAGTTGCAGGCAACGCTCAATCAACAAACATAATTGCAAAAGCTTACATTGAGTGTTTGCAATTTTTGATTAGGAAAAATCTAGATGATGTGATTTTTTGCAAGAATTTGATCAAGCAACTTTGCAAGGTGTTAGAATGGTGCATGACGAAAGATGCAGTTTCATATTCGACTATTTTCTATCAAACCACAAGTTTTGTTGAGTATTTACAGAAAAATAGCAATTTGAAAGACATACAAGTTTTGGTTGAGTTTTTTACTAATTTGTTGCAAGATTCATTTTATCTTTCAATTAATAAGGCTTCAAATAGTATTGGTGCAATAGCAGAAAGGCAGGTGGAATTTCTGTTGTTGCTTAAACAAAAACAAGAAAAGCCTGATGAATTTTATTTTAACAAAGTACAAAATGTTGCTATGAAGTTAATGGAAGTTTACTTGAATTATACTGAAGAAAAATCCTCAAACGAATTATTACCGCAAGTGTATATTTTAACAGAAGAATTTGATAGTAAATTAGTATTTGAGATATTATTTAAGCAATTAAAAACTGAAAATTATATGGAAATTTATACAAAAGGATTGAAAAACTGGCTCTTGTCTGAACAAATTTATTGCAGCAGCGTTATAAACTTAGTATTTGCTTTACTTGGAAATCTTGAAGCAAATGACAAAGAAGCTGTTTTAAATAACCTCCTAGAGATCAATCAGCCTAATTGTATTACTTGGTCACTGTTAAGGGCAGTTTCAGCTCCATATAAAAACGACACCGTAATACAAAAGTGGCTCAAAAGTGACACTATTTCTAACTTAATAATTTCCATTGCTGGAAAATATATTAATGGAGAAGCCAATGAGGAAATGATAAATGTTTTTAAGACCTCTTTAGAATCACTTATCAGTAAAGATATATTAAACAGAATTGTTGAAGCTTTATCAGAGAATCTTCAACAGGAAAATCTTAAAATAGATTCAAGTTTAGACTTGGCTTCGGATATTTGTGAAGTAATTTACACGTCAACTTATAAGCTTACTTATGGAAGTAAGTTGCTGTTGACGATATTCAAATTATCTTGTAATTTGGCTAATGAAGATTTGAATGTTATATGGCAAAAATCACTAGGCACTCTTTTGAAATGTCTTGAGGATAAGGAAAGGGAAGACTTACTGGAGGAATTATTTGAAATTATCGAAGATGTTTTTAGTAGGATGTTGATTAAAGGAAATGTTCAATTAATCGATGAAATTTTGACAGAGCTATTGGAAACTGTTTATGGAAATCAAGAAAATTTAACTACTTGGGTTGTAGGGTATTTGTCTAAGAAGTCAGAGAGGATTTCTGGTGAAATTGATGTACTTGGACTTTGTAAGGTAAGAATTTCTCATTAATAATTGAATTTTTTCATAGGTAATTCTTATTCTAATGGGCTTTCAAGCATATCGGATTCAAGTTTCTTGTTAGTGGTCGGATGTTGGCCCTTCCACTACAACCTACGGTCTATTGTGGCTAACTCCGAGTTTATATTTCCCCCATCAGTCCACCCCTTCTTATAAAGGGTTTATATTGATGACTCTTTGGTGTTTTTCTAATTTAATTTTCAAGAGAATCAACTCAAAATTTTGGCATGATGTACTTTTTGATTTAATTGAATTGTGTTTGGACTTTAGACCTCGATCTAGACTGTTCTTGATATTAGGTTGTACATATTTCAAAGTTGATTATTGAGAAAATTTTCTAATAAATACGTTCTATTCAATTTCCTTGTCTTTTCTTTATATTTTGGATTTTCTTATTTTTACAATAATTTTTTAGACATAATGTGTTCAAATTTGTTTAATTTTCCATGTAAAATCCTTTCTTTAGGTTGCAAAATATGTGAAAGAAGGCCTAGACATTTTCCATGATGAATTAATAATTCAAAAACCCTTCAACGCAGAAAGTCTGTTATCCTACTACGTGAATTATTTTCTGAAAATTCAAGTTTTAAGCACCACTTTACGCGATGGAAATAAAATTATCGATTTGGTTATTGATCCTGTGGATAATCTAGTAGAGCTGTTTTATTCTTACTTGATTGCTGACATGTTTTTGGAAAATTTTGGAAACGTATGTATTATTTAACAAAAATCACCTAAACTGTTTAAATAATAATTTTATAGGTGAAGTACTATAGAGAATTACACAGCTTCCATACGATGTATCGTCAGCAAATCAATGGAATAATGAAATCCATAAACCAAAACACTGTAGAAGAAATTGATAATCAGCTAACGGAAAACTTGAATTTAGGTTGGTTCTGGTACCAAGCACGTACCTTGTTCCAGCAAACTCTCTGCGAATTGCAAGATGTTTCAAATTTGTCTTGTAACCCTGATAATAAGGACGCATCAAGCGCTTCAACTGGCATTACATATTATTGTAATGGAAAAGTCAAAAAAACTTTTGTGGGGGATGATGACTATATGGAAGAAATATTCGTAACTTTGTTCGAGGAAGTTGATAATGTCAGGAAAGATAATTTAGCTCAGTTTTTGTATGAAAATAGGTAAGCAGTATATTTTAACATTTTAGCGTAATGTAAAATGGTTTATTTTCAGTGATATTTCTTGGGAATGTGCAAATAAAATTATCAGATCCATTAGGAAATGTACAATGTTGATGGAAAAGCTTAAATTAACTCAACGCTATTGGGATTTTATTGTGCTTTCTTTGGTTTCTTGGGCTTCAAATTGCTTCAAGGCCAGAAGGCAAATTCACCAATATCAGGTCAGGATAAATTGCACATTGATTTTAATTAACTTTTACCTCAAATAAGTAAAACTTGTTTGCTAGTAAATCTGACTACTATTACGTTTTATTTCTTCAACTTTTGTAGTTTCTGAAGGCTTTTTCGAATTTTTCAGTATCAAGCAATGTTGGTCTCAGTATCAGAGCTTTACATATCAGTTTGTAAAAGAATTGAAAAATTAAAAATAGAACAACCAAATTCAAATTTTATTAGTGAATGGGAAGATATCCTTTTGGAAGGCATCCATGCTGATATTGCCAGAATTTGGTACTTTTTAGCAGGTAGGTAACTGTTCATATAAAAAATATTCTCAAATTAATACTGGTTTTTAGATCATTTCAGCAAACCTAGTGAAGACTCCATAATCAACCTACCCATTCTGCAATCTTTTGTAAAAGTATCAGATTATTTGCGTCACGATTTGATTTTCAAAGGCCAAGAAAACCTCCCTAAATGGACAAAGTTCTTCCAACACACTTTACATACTTTACTAACCAATTCTCAAGAGATATTACAACTATGGGGCTACAGTATGTTGTTAACATTATTGCCAGGATTAGTAAAACTCGACGAAGAATCAGTAAAAACAACTACACCTCACAGAAATGGATTAATTTTCGAACAATTCAAAGTGAAAATTGACAAAATTCAAGACATCGTTAATAGCGTTTTAATAGATTTTCGTATAGGAGAAAATAGCTGTACGGTAGAGCCATCTTATGATTCATATACCTATACTTTGGCCTATTTACTCGTGTGGGATGTCATGTTAGGTTTGTGTCAGAAAGCATCGCCTGAATTGAGGTTTCAGTATTCCGATTGGCTGAAGTAAGTTCTAGATTTACTAAGATTAATCTGATTTGTGACTTTTTCTAAATGCATTTCTGCTCCTAGTTTTGAAGCAGCTTTTTTTAAATACTGACAAATTATCTTGGTTCTACAGTCTACAGAGCAGAATTGGTCAGTTGTAGACGCTGTAGAACAATTGCTGGTTCTGGAACGGTTCTCATGTCTGTTGGAACAGTTATTATCATTAATGGATATTGGAAGGAAGTCTATCTGCCCGAACCCTGTCACCCAAATTCCTTATACATTCATCTATTTTCTTGTAATTATCTTCACAGCAAGGGTCTCCCCTGTCCAGATATCTTAAGTGCCTTTAGAAAAACGCCACTCAATCACTGTAATATTGAGGTCATATACATGGTGTACAATTTAAAATGAAACAGGCTAAATATCTGATGCCAAATTTATTTTGTTTTAAAAATCGCTCATATACATAATTTGATTTTCAAAGGCGGAAGTTTTCTGCAACAATTTTTAGCACTTCAACTTTAACCCTCTCGGCGGGGTGGGACTAACCCTTAGAGTGATACCTATTTTAAAAGAGCGTTCTTTCAAAACAGGTATCACCCCTGTTCCATTTGGAATGTTGGGTTGCTCCCACCCCCCCTAGAGGGTTAAGATAGTGCTGAAAATGTTTCAAACACACACACAATCAAATCATAAAATAAATAAAAGTGACACATCAGATATTTAGCCTGTTTCGTTTTAAATGGTATACTGATGCTCATTGCTTATGCTTTTTTCCAGAGATGGTTCCATACTTAATCAATTTTTCACAAATATCTTCAAACTAATGCCCATAGAAACGTTGCTACACGAAATAGGAGACTCCAAAATCCACACTGATACCTTCACAACTAAACCTATAGACTCTACAGGTTCTTCTCGTTTTTACGGTAGCCACATGATTGAAAATTTAGCCTGTTACTTGTTTAAATCAGCAGTTGAACATTTCCCAGCATTGGTAAGACAGTGGTGGACAGTTTTAGACATAAAAACGTCCCAAATTGTTGAAAAAGTTACCAGTTTATATGTATCACCTTACATTTGCGATGCCGAGCTTGATAATGTAGTACAAAACCAAAACGCTTTCAAAAACTTGAAGGTAATTTGATTTGCCTTTAAAAAAAACAATGTTTCAAAATAAACTATTTTGTTTTAGGTGAAAGTAATGCCAAATGTACGAGAAATCAAAGCAGTTTACACAGTAGATGAAGCTCAAATGGAACTAACCATAACACTTCCCAGTAATTACCCGTTAGGTAATCCAATTATATTTTGTGATAGACAAATAAGCGGTGCCAACCAGAAACAATGGTTGCTCCAAATCAAAAAATGTGTCCTGCATCAAAACGGTAAAATTTGGGACGGTTTATCCTTGTGGAACTCGAATCTGGATAGGAAATTCGATGGAATCGAGGAATGTTACATTTGCTATGCAGTTTTACATTCCGGTGCTAATCAGTTACCAAAATTGACCTGTCGGACTTGTAAGAAGAAGTTTCATTCTGTCTGTTTGGTAAGAAAGTTTTTGCATTGTAGAAATTGTAGATTTTAATGTTTTGCTTTTTTTTTTAGTACAAATGGTTCAGTACAAGTAACAAGAGCAGTTGTCCTATATGTAGAAATTTGTTTTAAACATTATTTTGTTATGTAAAGTTTAATAAAACACAAATAATTGGCAAAATTTTACTATTTGAGGTGACAAGCAAAAAATGTACAAAGTAAATCCTGAAATCTTCAAATAAATGCTTGTGCGTATTACGATTTCCAAAAGTTTGGGGCCAAAGTTAATCTCCTTTCAAAATTGGTGTACCAGTTTTGTACTGTTGATAATGGGACATAAGTGGCAGTAGGATCTGGAACCATATTAGCTTGGTTTATGGTGTAGGATAAAACATAGTCCATGAAATTTTTCAACATTTTCTGGGCAAAATTCACTTGAGTCGTTTGACCGTCTGGCGATGGAACTTCGCGGATATTACATAGTGGTTCTAAAAAAAAAATTAAAAAATATTAACATTAAAAATGTAAGTCTAGGATATATTTTACCTATACTAATTCCTATTTGAGCATTATGAACAATGTGCGATTGTCCAAACATCATGTTTGAATAATCGCTCATTTCTTCTAGCCTCTTGAAATTTGATATTTTAAATATTACCGAGGGCTTTTGGTTGGAAATGTAACCCAGCAGTTGCCAGTTGGGTGGAGCGTTTGGATCAGGCCAGCTGAAATAAACTACAAAAATGGGATTACAAATTACAGATAAAATGTATTAAGGATTGTTCATTACCTTGACCTGCAGTTCCTTCTGGAAAGGGAACGCTTCCAGTTAGAAAGACAACAATGTGATTTATGTTATCAGCATCGGGGATTGTAGTTACGAAATGTGCTTCATTTATTTGTTGGAATTCAGTTTGTACCTGAAATAGCAATAATTATAAAAATCAACTTACAAAAACTGAAATTGGGAATGTTGAGAACAAACAATTATTTACACTGATGATGGGACTGATGGGAGTATATGAAGTTAGTGTTTTACTTCATCAATATATCATGTAGGTCTTAGTTACTTCATGATCTTTGTTAAATTTACAAAATTGATAATTTCTTTTATATTAAAAATGTCATCTCTGGAACAATTTTACTCTGGTCAGTCTGCAATTCAATAGAGAGCAAATCCAAATTGATGAAAACTTCAAACGTCTTGACTGGAGAAATCGAAATAGAAGGTAGAATAGAGTCAGCAAGACTTTTAAATTTCAAAAAATTCCTGACCAACAAAGAACTTTGGTATGGTGTGCAAGCATGGATGAATATTTGAGAATTTACCAGTGTTAAGTTAGCACGCCAAAGTATGAAGTTAGAAAAATGGTGTTTCACGTTCAAATTTGGAAGGATGCTTGTTCAAGGGATGCTTTATGATCCCTTGAACAAGCATCCCTCCAAATTTGTACCTGAAACACCATCTAGGTGTCTGAAGAAAAAAAAAGGAAAATATGAAATTATCAATATTTTTCATATAAGCGATGATTTTCCTAAGTTCGACGGCTGGCAAAGAATTTTCTTTTTGAGGGATGATAAAGCATCCCTTGAACAAGCATCCTTCCAAATTTGAACGTGAAACATCATCTAAGTGTCTGAGGAAAAAAAAAGGAAAATATGAAATTTTCATTATTTTTTCATACAAGCGATGATTTTCCTAAGTTCGACGGCTGGCAAGGAATTTTCCTTTTGAGGGATAATAAAGCATCCCTTGAACAAGCATCCCTCCAAATTCGAACATGAAACAGCATCTTTCTAACTTCACACTCAGGGTTGGATGGGACCGACGCGTCTCAAATCAATAATGAAATTTTGAAATTTATATATTTGACATCATGAAAACTATCTAAAACAATATTAAGGCTGTGGTCCGAATATAACCAGGGTTGTGGTTTCGCGGTCCGGAAGCGATCAAATTACTCTGGTACCTGGAAAAGTGGTTACTTTTGGACCTTGGTTTCCTGAAATCTGGTTAACCAAATGTCAAAATAGTTACCGACTATCGGATGTCGGTTCTGTTGGTTTTATCTGTAAACTCTGTCAACAATTTTTTATTTCATATTTGCGTTCCCTAGGTAACCGGAATTTTCAGTAACGATCTGTCAACCGGATGGGTTACTTTGGTTAACATTTCGTTATATTCGGACCATAGCCTTAAACTGGATATTATGCGTGAGGTCCGAAACCACTAGTGACGGTTTAGTTGAGAATGCAGTGTTGCCAATCTGAATTTGTGAAATTACCTACACGATATGCTGGTCAAATTACATAGTTTTACACGATTTCGTCTCACAATTACACGATTTATACACACGACTTTGGTACCTATTTAGTAACATCAAGAAGCAAGTATTTATGATTTTGGGAAATGGGTCAAATCCAGTCAAATCTGAGGGTTAATCGTCGCTCCTCAACCAACGTGGCAACGACAGAAAAGAAATCCGAAAGTAATCTAATTACTAATTACTCTGGTTCCTGGAAAAGTGGTTACTTTTGGACTTCAGTTTTCCTGCCAGGATGAGGCACCCTAGATGACGTCATACAGTTATCAGGCAACCTACCTCTCTCAAACATCCTAGCCATAAGAGTAGTCACTTGACAGACAAAAGATAATGGAATGTAATGCAAGGAGCAATTAAGGGAAGAGAAAACGTCAAGTCCTATTTGTTTGTCACAGGGACCGTGACCTATCTATATGTAATAATATCGAAAATGAAAATTCCAAAATATTCTTTCGTTTTCTTTACAGTAAAATTTTTGAAACCCATTTTTCATTCTTGCCGTCAAAGGGAGGGCTGCATGAAAAAAATTGCCAGGGCCGGTTTGTCTAAGCCCATCCAACCCTGTTCACACTTTGGCGTGCTCGAGCGGTGTGCTTACTTCACACCGGTTGAGAATTTGTGAGTTGACCATTTTTAGAGGTAGGTGCCTACTGTGATTGGCTGAACTAGAAGATTTCTGAAAAGAAGGAATCATAGCCTGGCTCAGTCAGATTATGTGGAAAATGATGAGAAGTAAAAAGTATAGAAACCAAGGATTAAGCAGGAACACAACATCCAGTCTCTCCAACAATGAATAGGATCATAATGATGAGGAAACTGAGAATTTTGCAGAAATCTGTATGACACTTCAAGAAGAGGCTCCACAGTTTTAGAAGAAAGATTTTTGGATATTGGAAAGAAGTCTATTTGTTAGAACCCAGTCACCCAAATTCCCCATCCATTTGCCCTGTTACAATATCTCAAGAATTATTATCAAAAACCAAAAAGCTGCTAGGAAGACCTAAGAACAAAAGCAATTCAAGAGCAGAGAGGACTGATTCATAATTCTCAGTTTTCTTCAGTCCTGTATCAAGCTCTATCTGTGAGAACTTGTAGAATAGGCTACTTGCATAAAAAATTTTTATTGCTGATTTCGATAGTCCATGAAAAATAAGTCAACACGTGTTTTTTCTTTTTCTTCTTAGTTGAAAATTGACGGAGATACAACACTATGAAATCTGCCTATGACGTCACTTATCTAATAGAGATTAGTGACGTTGCACATGCTCAGTATATCTATGTATACAAAACTTAATATTTGAATAACTTCCGGAATAATCATATTTGGGTGAAATTAAAAAAAAAGTAACGATTTTTTTTCGATTTCCTACAGTTTGCAATAAACAATAATCAATTTAATTTTCCAAGTACCCTATTGAGGCTTTCCATTCAATATGTCATGAGAGACACACTCCAAGGATTTGGAAAGGTGACAAAAGAGGAAAAGGAAGGAAACATAGTCTTCCTCAGCCACATTATAGGTGGAAACCGATATGATTTCCAAGCCCTCATTTGAAAAAAGGATAGAAACCAAGGAAGAAAGAACGCAGCATCTTGTCTTTCCAACAAGTTACAATGAATAGGATTATAATGACGAGAAAACTGAGAATTTTGCAGGAATCTGTATAGCATAAGGTATTAGGGCCATCACACACAGTTTTGCATAAGGCCTGAACCAATCACAGGTTGTATTAAAGGTCACCTGACTGTCAACTGAAAAATCAGATGACCTTCAATACAACCTGTGGTTGGTTGGGGCTTATGCTTACTTGTGAACTGAACAGCAGCAATGGAAAGTGAATTCTAGAACATTTGACCAATTGTGAACCAGACCTTATGTACCTATAGTATTTGCAGCATATAAAGAATATATTAATGGCATTATAGAACTTTGAATAAATGGTGAACGAAAAGAAATTGGTCCAAGCACCGGTATTGATCCCTGGGGGGCGCCACATTTGTCTGGTTCACGGTGGTTGATTTTTAAGTTCTGAACACAATAATGTGGTTATACTCAACAATGTCAATTATATCTAACACGAGTATGAGAAGAAGAGCTAGTTCCTTGCCTAAAGCATTTAAATATAAATAAAACAAGTCAGATATTTACTCACAAGTCTTCCGGATACAATTATACCAAACATAGCCATAGTAGAGGACTTTTTTCACTTAAAAAATATATAAATAATTATAAAACTCTGAAGTCAAGAAAACAATTTAATCCTTAGAAATTTATTTTCAATTCTGTATGAATTCTGGAATAGAAATTTCGGGAAAAAACAAACAAAACGTTAAAATCGATTTACCGTAGATCCCCAATCAAAACGATAACCTTATTGAATTGACACTCTTGACGGATGCATTCAGTGGACGTAATTTCTACAAATTCTAATTTATCGACAATTTGATAAGAGAATTTTGGGATTGAAGCAATTTTAGCTCAATTAAGGGTGCAGCAGGCTATCAAATAACCCATGCAAGATCAAAATAATTATTTTTGCTTCCCTAAAGTTAAAAGAAATGAGGTTAGGGTTAGGGGTTTCGAGTTTCCTTTGACAGAAATGCAACGTTGCCAAAGTGTAGTTTCTGACATCTATGTGAACACAGCTTTATCGTTGTGACAATTTCCATGGTTGTTGACAGTTTGTTTTTTTTGGTAGTAAAATGGTGCTGAATCTGAGTGTGGTGAGAGTCAACAGAACAATTTTTAGTTTTTCCAACATTTAAAGGCCATCTAGTATAATTTCCTTTTTGATTTTCGTTAAAAAACCATGGTAAGTACCAATTTCAATTGAAAACAGCACTGTTTTTCATCTAACCATGCGATTTTCCTTCATAAATTCCTATTTAGTACAACAATTACCTTGTTTTTTCTTTATAAAAAAAACCCTATCTATGGTTTTTTTTTACTTGAATATTTAAAGAAGAAATTTTGACTTAATAAACCTCGTGTTCAGTCTCTAAACTCATGAATGTTATTTTATGTTTGTTTTGAAATCAGATCCTTATTTTCCAGAAAATAGGTAAAAAAGGCACACACCTCCACGCAGGCGTTAGCAAAATCAATCTTTTCAGACGAAGTTTTCAGGAAAAATTGACAAAGTTTCCTATATTTTTTTTCAATACCTATTTTGCCGACTTTGACCTTCTAAAGGCTGCATAGGTCCTGGTATCAATTTTATGTGGTAGATAATTTATGATGAATGACTATCAGTTGTTGGGAGGCCTAATTTTTCTTGAAAAATACAATTTTGCCTTGCAGATTGATTAATTCATCAGTTGAATCTCAAGTTGAATTAATACCAAAATTTCTTTGCAATTTTAATGAGAATTTGCCATTCAGTACCTATGTGCAAAGGCAGATCAGATTAAAAGATAATAATTTATATCTTTGGCAATCCTTCAAGGAATCCTTAGGTTTCCAAAAAATGGGAATTTTCTCATACTCAAAAACCCAAGCAAAAACCTATTGATTTATAAATATTAAATGGAAAAACATAAAAATAAAATAACAATTTCACTAGCTTATCCATATAGGTAACAATCATATTTCAGTTTGAAGTACCCTTGCCATTTTCTTTAAAGGATTGAAACAAGCCATAAAAAACATCTGTCCCATTCTCCCTGTTTAATAAATCCTCGAATAAATCCAAAGTTCTATCCACAAAAGAATGTCTCCCATAGTCGCAGTTGGTCCTATGGAACCCAATGGAAAATTAATCATTTTGCCTCAAAATTCTTTGCAAACAGCAGAAAGTAAACAAAGAACATGAAATCATTCCATTCAATTGCTTAAAAATAACACAAGCATCAAACATAATCCTTCTCCTTTACAGAGTGACCATGAATTTCAGAATTTTTCACTAGTTTTTTTATTGTTATTAATAAAGTTGATTTTCTGCACTCCTCTAGCTTTATTGTATTCTTGATCTTAAGATATTTATTATTTTCATCAAGTTCCTTTTTTTGGTTAAAGTCTAGGATATTTAATAAATCTATTTTGTAGTCTCTGAATTTTTTTCCTATTGTTGTCTTCATTGCTGCTGCCTATATTGCAAACTATATTGAAATTGTGATTTAAAAAATGGCTCGTAGATGGATGTTTCCGAGGATGTTTCAATGCTGCTCGGCAAATTATTTACACATTGTTTAATGGCACCACATGAAAGTCTATTTTGAATATGCTCTTTAAAATTTAGGTCTCAGTCAACAATTTTTCTTCAAAATCCTGACAATTTCTAAGAGCGAAGCCCAACATTCTGTTGGTTTTTACAACCAGTTGATCCATATGGTCAGTAAAATGTAAACAAGAATCAAATAGCATCCCTAGCTGCCACACTATTTTTCACCATTTATTGAGTAGGGAGATTCGATCTTATTTTCCTCTTGATTTTTCTTCTGAGTAAATGAAATCTGCGAGGCGGCAACCACTATGCTTACAAATGTACAATGATTTCCATATTTGGCAATCACTGATCAATGAATCTCATGTATTCCCATCCCAAGAATTGCCAATGATTTTCAGATATTTTTGTATGATTACCAGGTGATTTACATTTTTTCTGGGGATTCCTATATCATTCTCAATTGATTATCTGATTTCCTTGATGATTTCCTGCAATCATCCGATTTCCAGCTGATTTTATTATGAAAACTATTGAAATCGATGTCTAATTGTTAAGCTTCACATTGATATGACCAAAATAAACAGTTTTTTCTCTTATAAAAACACGTTTCCACTGAAAAATTGGCAACTTTTGTACCTATTTGCAACCCTTCCAAAAGTTATCAATTTTTATTTTCATTAATTATTCTCGTTCACTAACCCACACCGATTTTGTTGTGGCTATGAATAGTTGTTGAGCCCTAGATACCATTGCATGTCTACACTGCATAATATGGATCTAAAATAATGGATATTTCTTTGATTTCACTAGGATGTTCATCTGAATCAGTGACATCTTCAGTTAGGGTTTCACTCGACAAACTTATTTCTGATTCAGATGTGTCGTTGTCTCTGCTTCTCGCCCTGCCTAGTATTTATTCTACTTTCTCCTTTCAAGTTCTTATTGTCTTGGGTTCCCGACTTTTTTTTTGTGTCTTTCTGAGGGACATTCCCCTAGCTCTTGATACTTGCTCCACAAATGTCCCTGCTTCTCTGAAAAGAACCAAATTAAAGTTGAGCCCTGACTAATCTCTTAATTGCACCGAATCGCAATTGCTAAACCCTGATGTGTGAAGAAATTCTGTGTCTTCTTTTAGCATGTCGGATTCAAGATTCATGTTTTCATTTTTATGATCTACAGCATTGTCATACTTTAGGTCTGTTATCAAAGAAATCACAAACCAGTAACAGCGAATTTCATTGGTTGAAAATAGTCAGAAAACTGGTTGTTTGCGATTTGCACTAATCAAAAACGCTCTGACTGGTTTGTGATTTCTGTGGGAACAGACCCAATCTTCATCTCGTTCTTTTTTTTCTTCAAGTTCTAAACTCTTCGTAGTCTCGGGTTCAGTTTTTTTTTGGCTTTGTTTTGGTTTCACTCCTTAGGTATCTAGCCACATCTATTGGCGCTGTCTAGGGATGACCGGCCCGCAACCGCCCTTTCCAGCAAGCTACGTATGAGACGTATATTTGTTTCTCTTTTGATTTTCTTAATTCTCTCTCGTCTGTTCGATTAGTCTTTCCTTACTATCTTTCCCGTACGCGATTGTTAGTAAGACATCACACACGTAGGAAACATATTCACATATTCTAAGGGGAGTTGACAAAGAAAGATTTCAAGATTTCAGGTCTCTACAATTCAATATTATTTGCTCTAAGAAAGTCCAAAATTATATTTGTTTGTTCTTACCTTAGGATTAAATATCACTGGGTCAATTGAAATTGGGGTTTGGACTCCATTTTGTATGAATATATCGTATAGGTTAGGTTGCAGGTTTTGGCATTCAAAAACCAAGTGTTCCAATGTTCCCACCTCCCCACATTCACATTCCGGAGAGTCCCTTATCCACAGTCTATGAAGGTATCCGGGAGTTAGGCAGTGACCCGTTCTCATTTTGATGATTTTCGTTATATGTTAACTTAACGTCTGTCCAAATATTCCAGATTGTTGCACTAGGATTCATCCAGAAACGATCCTACATATTGTTTGTACTTAATGCCCTTATTTCCTGATGAGTTCTTCCAATATTCCTTCCAAATTCGCTTATGGTTCCTCCGGAATATATTTCTTGACATCCAATAGGATGGGGTAAGGGATCTTAAGTAGTGTTCTCCCAATATTAGCAAGTTTGGTAGCAATTACATTTCCCTCTATGTTTGCGTGTCCAGGAATCCAGCAAAGCCGGATGTCTAAGCCAGCTTCATTCGCCTCTATCAATTGTTGCTTAGTAGACATTCGCATATAATCTTGGTTTTTTAATTCTCTGCCATTTATGGTCTTCACTGCACGGATTCCTAGGAGATTCCTAGCGATTCCCAGGTTATTCCCAGAGACTCCCAGGTGATTTCCATCCAAATCAAAAATGCTTTATTCTACAAACAGTTCAACACTTTGTGACATTCGTCAAGATAGTAATAGGCCTTACTCAACAATAGCCTTTTAACATTCTTATTGAAAATCCTATTGCTTTCTAAGTTTTTAAGTTCCAGAGGCAGGTGATTAAACATTTTTACCCATATGATTGAGTTTTTTGTCAAAGTAGTTTTAGGGATTCCCAAAAAAATTTACAAGGATATCCACTAGTGGTTTACCCCTCGAAAATCTGGAAACATTTATCAACGTTTAGATCTAATAAGTTTTTCTTACACCAGTCAGATAGGCTATCGAGATCACTTTGGAGTAAAGCAATATCAAGTTCATTTAAAATTGATAAAAACAGCTTAAGTTCATCTGCAAATATCAAGAATTCACAGTTATGCAGCTGCTCTTTTAGGTTATTGACAAACAGGCTGAACAATAAGGGAGAACAATGCCCCCCTGTAGCACACCAGAACTGACTTTAATAACCTTCGATAAAAAATTACCAATTTTAACAATGAGCTCTCTATCCCTAAGAAAACTAAGAAACCAGTTTGACAATCTCCCAGAAAACACAAATTTATCAACTTCTCAATAAGCAAATTTATGATTGTCTCTGTCGAATGCCTTTGGAGAAGTCAGTATACACAGCATCTACCTAGTATCCCTCTCCAAGACATCAGTCAGTTTACTGTAAATCAGTAAATTAGCAAGTGTGAGCGGACCCCCCCCCCTAAATCCATGTTGCTCATCAATAAGGATTTCTTTACACTTTCAGTTTAAGTAGGTACATGTACATTAAGCTATCAAAAACCTTTGGGATAGAAGACTGTATAGAATCACTGAGGAAATTTTTGTATTGAAATGCTTTAGTCTGCTTTAGTCTACAATACATTATGTTAATAACTCTTATTCATTTTGCTATTTCAATTTCTGAGAAAATACTCATTCAAAGTGAAACTTTCCAGCAGAGGCTCTTTTGAAAATTTTCACTCAACTATTCCAAATTTGTTCCATAACGTCCGTATAAATTTTTGATATATTCTAGTCCAGTAAAAAATATAATAATAAACAATAAATGCGTTTATCCAGCAAACACTATATTACAATCTAAAAATATAAATTGTATTTTTTGTTTTTATTGAATTAGAATGCGTTAATTCTGATTTTCCATTTAAACGTCTTGTGCCATCCGCACCAAAATTTTGTAAAAACATTTCCACGTAAAATTTGTGTTTTGAAGACAAACGTGAATAGAAATAATGATTGACAGAGTTTCCACCCTTAAAACAGGGATTTCTCTCTAAACGTTATACAACAACTTTATTTGAATGCGAGTTTGAATGTCTTCAGGACTGGACAGACTGAGACAACCATGATAATTCTCAACCCAGATGTGATCTATCTCAATTATGAGAAGGCCTTTGACAAAGTAACACATAATCGACTTTTAGGAAAGTTGAAATACTTTGGAGTGAGAGGTCAACTCATTGCAGGACCCACTGCATGAGAGATTTTATCAAGTTAAAAGTAAATGGAGGTCTCAAAAATTAGCACAACGAAAATGGCACACATCAGAAAAACTAGAGTACTAAATTCGGGGCTATTTAGTGCTAATTTAGTACGAAAAAAAATAATTTATAACTCTATTTTTAAAAAAATTACGTGCATGTGTGCCAGCTTAAGATTAAGCTGGCACACTCTAGTTGGATAAGGTCGAATCTTTGAAAATCTAGTACCTTATATTTAGTGCTAATAGACCGTGAGATAGGGCCTGTTTAGTGGAGTCATTTTTTTTTGTCTGGCATTTTGAGGGATGAATGTGGCTAGTTAGCTGATGAGAATATAGGTGGTTTTAGTGCCTGCCACCTGTTCGAAATGTCCACAGAATGTTTCGCCGGAAAACTCGACATCGAACTGGGATTACCGTCTGGCGATTTTTCAGCGATATTTTCACAACAAAACCTTCCATTCTCTCGATTACCAGACAAAAAGTAAACGCGGAAGGTTCTTTTCTTTTCTCTTGGAAGTTGACACTCATCCCCACTTTTTCAGCTATTGAAAAGCATCTGGTATTTTTTATGGGTGAATTATTTATCAATGTCAATCTTTTATTTAGAAGCCAAAAAATTTGAGATCATTAAAAAAAAATTTCTCATGTAAATCAATTTTTTTCTTCTGCAAATTTTCGAACGGGAGGCAGGCATTAAAATCACCCATATTCTCATCAGCTTAGTAGCCACATTCAGCCCTCAAAATGCCAGACAAATAAATGACTCCACTAAACAGCCCCTATCTCATAGTCTATAATTTAGTACATTCATGTCGGGCCTAAAAAACTAACAATGATGTATTTATTACAATATAAACACGGAAAAGTGTTAACTTAAGACTTGAATCAGCACACATAGATCGAATCGACCACGCGAGAACGGAATTTGCATGCGCATATTTAGTGCTAATTTAGTACATACTTCAAAAACGACGACCCGAAACGAACTAGTATCACATCAGCACAGAGCTAACCCAAACTAACCCAAAATAAACCGAACTAACCCAAACTAACCGGAACTAACCCAAACTAACATCCGAAATTAGCACTAAATGTGTGCTAATTTAGTACTCTAGTTTCATCGCGTCATCAGTGATAATGTTTGTTAACTTAAACACTAAGCCAGCACACAAGTGCTAGCTCTGTAGGTACTGATGTGATACTAATTCGTTTTGGGTCGTCGTTTCTGAAGTACTAAATTAGCACTAAATATGTGCATGCGAATTCCGTTTTCGCGCGGTCGATTCGATGTATGTGTGCTAATTCAAGTCTTAAGTTAGCAATTTTCCGTGGTTATTTCGTAATAAAAACATCACTGTTAGTTTTTTAGGCGTGCCATGAATGTACCAAACTAGCACTAAATATGAGGTATCAGATTTTCAAAGATTCGACGTTATCCAACTAGTGTGTGCCAGCTTAATCTTAAGCTGGCACACATACACCTAATTTTTTTAAAAATAGAGTTATAAATAAATTTTTTTCGTACTAAATTGGCACTAAATAGGCCCTAATTTAGTACTCTAGTCTGATGTGTGCTATTTTCGTTGTGCTAATTTAAGGAACCAAGTAAATGGTGTGCTGTCAAAACAAGATCTTGTTAATAGCGGAGTTTTCCAGGGTTCGATCATAGGCGCTTTGCTTTTCACATCATACTTGTTTGATCTGGCGAGTCTCATTGAATCCGAGATTGAATCTAAAATGAAAAACTTCGCAGATGATGGAAATCAGAGAACCACATTTTAAAGATTTCCAAAAAAGCCAATTTTATTGTATACCTCATTAAACAAGCATTTAAAGACCACTCAATAGAAATGATAGGCAAACTTTATAAAAGTTACATACGAAAAAAACTTGAATACGCTTTCTCAGTGTGGAATACCTACTATGCCAAAGATATAGAAGATCTAGAGAAGATACAAAGACAAGTTACAAAAATACCACCAGAATTATGAAACCTCGGTTCCACATACATCTTCTGACATCTGATTTTTCCTCTCAAGATTGTGTCCAATTATGTAGTTTCAAAATCCGTGTGGGTTTAGGGGTTGAAGAAACATAGGAAGCAATGCCTGATTTTTTACTTCATATATTATTTACCATGTGTATTTATACATAATTGACTTAAATTTATTCACAAACTGGTAATTTTTTATCAAATTTATGTGAAAATCTCCAATATGTTGGTATGAAGTAGTCATATACATATAGTATAACGGATAATATAATATCAATAAAAAAAGATTACTTATTAATTATCTCAAAAACGCTTTTATCTTGATAATAATTTTCATTTTAGCTCTATTTGTAAATCAAGTACCTCTACCTCCACTCCACTTCTGCAATGTGATTCCGTGCAATGGTGCCAACATAATCCGACCGCATTGAAATCCTATAGCCATTGTAGCATTGTATTTCTATTCACGCGGCAATAATTGAATATCAAAATACACAATAGCAAAAAAAAAAAATTTACTTATATTTCATTGAATAAGGATTTTGCGTTCATTTAAAAAAAAAATGCATATGTATGTATTTGCATGATCATGATCTATAACAATAAGATAAAAGGTGAAAGCCTTCCTACTTCATATTCTCACAATCATTTTCATTATGATTGCTATTAGGTATAAGATACGGAATCTTCATTTACCAATGTTGAAAAATAATATGTTCAATTTCAAATTGGTCGTCATAAACAATGTACTTTACAACATCTAACCCACATTGATTAAGCTAAGTCCGACGAAAACTTAACGTTGGATAAAAGCTTTGATTGAAAAGTCAACATGCAACTTTACCAAATGAATATAATGTTGGAATTAGTACCTATACTTAACTCATCAAAAATTTACTTATTATTTCCAGTATATTTCGGAGAGACTGACTTCAGGTAGCCATGTCTCTGCCGGTGTCTCAATATGAAGCCTTACTGGCCGAAGTGCGGGGCCTAAGGCGCAAGACCCAACGCGTCCAACAACTAGCAAATGCCCAATATTATCAGGTAAGATGTTTTACTAAGTATTTTTAAAATATTCAATGGTTAACTAACTTGCAGATTTCTATTTCACTTTTGATATCTAGAAGTTAACTGCCAATAGAACAACCCTGGCTAAACTTAAATTTTCTAGTCTTTAAGGGCCGGTTTCTCAATAGGATAACTCCAGGGTAAACATAACAACTGGACACGTTCACCCAGGAGTTAAAACCAACCCGGAAGTGACTCGCTATTTAGAAACCAACCCTAAAAGAAACAATTTCCAAAGTCATAATTAAAATTCATTCAAATAAAGCTCTTTGGCTTTATATTTATTCGCTAGCGTGTTGAGCGAAAGCCAAAAAAAAAAACACATTATTACGTGCCAAAAATCTACATTAAGTTTCCCTACTATGCGTGGCTAGAAATCAATAGTTAGTTTAACCCTAGACAGCACAGTCTTCTTTATCACCAAAATGCCCTTTTATTTATGATTTATTTTATTTAAATTTATTGTTTACATAGGCATGAGTACTACAGCCATGTAAGTTGGCTCGAAGCCGAAATATCAACCTTGTTAGACTACAAGGCAATAATTAAATTTGTAATCATTATTTTTATGCCTAGATATCAGATTTGAAAATTGTTATTTCCGAGAAATAAATAGTTTACAATCTTTATCTTTATAGGTATAATTTAACTTGAATCAATACAGATTAGTCCATGAGTAATTATTTTCGACTAGATTGAGTAAACATTCAGAAGCCAACAGAGTAGTTTTTCCTCAAAAAGTGCAGAAAAAGTCAAATCAATATTGTGCTGATGAAAAAAGGCGCATTTTCCGTCTAAATGCAACTTACACCCCCTTTAGTAGAGCCACCCTTATTTTAGATTCGGTGGCCAGACTCCCTGCTGCTAGTATTAGTACACGATTTTGAGAGCAAGCGCAAACCTATAGCTGTCCGTGAATGGCAATATTTTCCTTTATAATCTGTGAATAAGAACTTATTGTCCATTTCCAATAATCGAGTTAGGCATAACGTTTGCTTTCAGGATTTTTCAGTATCTTTTCCAAAGAAACTGGAAGTTTTGTATTTAGTTGTTCCATAATTTCAAGAAACCTTCATAATATCACAAGAAGAATATTTTCTACAAATTGACGCATCTGCTATATTTTCCCAATATCTGAGAGCCTGATTAAAAACAAGATAAAATTGGAACTAGTCAGCAATTAAAACCTTTTGTTGTTTTAATTATTAGTACTTATTGTATTGAACATTGAATATGTTACATAAATATTTTACACTAAAACCATTATCAAAATCGTTTTCGGAGTGATCGACTCTATAAGCACAATGCCATATTCCAACAATAACATCTCCCCCATCGCGTGTATGATCACCTTTACGGCGCTTTTAATCCTGCTATACAACGTTTTGTATAGGGATCGTTTTGCCGGTCCTGCAGTGCACCAACAGCTGTTCTGAAACGTCGCGGCTGGGTGAAACTGTTTAAAAGTGTAGTGCTTATTTGGAAACCCCTTTTTTTTTCTCGGTTAGTGGGCATTTTATTTCTATATTAAGACCGACATCTGCTAATTAATATCTAGTGAATCATCTTTTTTTGTGCACGAATTCTAAAGGAATAAGGCGATTCTTGTTTTTGTGAATATAGCATTGTTGGTGCCTTATAAGGATTTGAGGAAGTGCCGGCAAAGGTTCTTGTGAAATGTATTTGTTTTTGCCTTGTATGGGTTAAATAAATGTAATCAGACGGTGGGTGTTCTTGAAACTTTTATTATTTTAATTAGTTGTTCATGGTATCTAACTACTTAATCAGTTTAATAATTAGTAATCAGCGTTTCTGATTTTTGTTTCAAAGCGCTGATTAGTTTCGAGTAATTAAAGTAATCACTAATCATTAAAATTCGGTTTGTGCGTAATTTTGGCTAACTGAAGGATTGACGAAATACCTATAAATATCCATTAAATAAGAGTTATTTTTGTTTTGCTAGAAAAAATGCCTTTCTTATAAATGTTCTCCTGAAAAAAATATATTTGGTAGATAGCATTTCTTCAAAACTACTGCTACTTTGAAGCAAATCTTGGTGTCATTTGTTTATTTATTTTATTTATCTATTTATTTACTTAGGCTCTTATAGCTGTGAACTTTGTTCATAGAAATAAAAATCATTTCGAATCAATGATACAGATAAATGAAACTTGAATTATTTGAAGACTGAAATTGTGAGATAATTTAGGTCTTCAGTATTTTTAAAAACACTTGGCAAAATTTTCAATTAAATATTTCCCCTTGAATGCTTAATTTTCTGGTATTTCAAAATCCTCATTTGACGCTAATTGAAACACTCCCAAAAGCCATTCCAGACTAATTACCATCAACGTCGTAAACCGGGGTTTAAAATGAAAATGAAAATAATCGTTTCCTGCCAGGCGTTTTTCCTTTTACTGACGAATCTCCTGCTGCACACACACCCGATTTGTTTGGCTGTGGTGTAAATAACTACCAAATGTGCACCAAACGTCGTTTATCTTTCGAAATTGCCATGTTTAAACTCAGCAGAGTGATTATAAACACAATACTTTGATTGTTGTTGTGTTTAGAGGCACTTTGTACTTTGAGTTTGCCCTTTTTTTCACCTTTTTATTGTATTTGATTTGTTTATTTGTCTATATCTAAAGAGGAAGCTTTTTATCTTCTCTTAATTTAGATATTTTGGGGCAAAAATCACTGATTATCTAAAATTGATAAGCTAATGAATCATTAATACAATGTCTTATATGACTCAAGTACCTACTTCTAAACTTTTTTTAATATATGTAAATTCTAAAACTGCCAAATATCGAAGACTTGAAAATTGCTATTTTTAGTATTGCTTCTCGTTTTCCAATTTCCAATGCACGAGTTCCAATTATTATTACTACCATAGCTAATTAGCTGCTGGAGTCGAAGACTTATCGAATATTTAAATAGCCTTTGGCTTCCATCCAAAACATTATCCTTAACTATTGGAAAGCTCTCAAAATAAGTGGTTTTGTTGGCTTTTTTAAGTTCAATACGTTTTCCGATGATTAAAAACAGTAAGCTCATGAATAAATATTTTAATATAATCTCGTATCTTCAGAAAAGCCCTTACATGATTTCTAAAGGTCTTTCCACTTATAAATGCAGGTCAAGCACAGCACACGGGCAACATCATATACGTGCCAAAGAGTTAAATTTTATGGCTTCTAATAGGTATATCGCGATAGAATTTTAAAACTCGCTCCCTTTTTTTCCAGAATGATAAACCACTAGATTACACAATGGAGTCTTTACTCTTAAACCGGCATCACGATAGGTCAAATTCGCCAAAGGTAAGTCTTTAAAATTCCATTTTTTTTTTTAATACAAAGCGGAAACTTTTCCCCTTGAAAATGCCAGGCTGCTATTTTAGTTGACATTTCACGGTTTAAAAATAGCTTTCTTGTGTGTTGAATGATGGCAGATTGTTTTCGAAAAAATATATGTGAAAACCTTTTACTTGCAGTATGAACGCGGAGCTAACTCGGATCAAGGTCACTTGTCCAGCGAGGACGAGTTTCGTTCTGGAATACCGAAACCTCGATCTGTAAGAAGTACCGGACAAATGTCAGTCAGTAGCGAACCTGTAACTAGAGTTACTAGTGGACAACAACAACTTGGTAAGATTTACTTTTGTCACCAATGCGTAGTTAGTTCATAATTTTACTTTTTTTAGATTCTATGTATCATGGTGCTTGGCCTAACGTTGAAAGGACAAGCATGTGGAATTCGGAACCTGCCAGTTTGGGAGAAGCCAGCGCTCAACAACACAGAAAACTCAGCAATTGCTCTGCTGGCTATCAAAATGTAAGAATTTTTTATTTATAATTATTGCTTCACGAATTCAGAAACAAGAAAGGAGTGTCATTTTAGGAGGTCAAACGGGGTTGGCAAAAATCGGGGTTTCTGAAAATTTCCATTGGGTTTTTGGGTTTTTGCGGGTTATTTAAAGAGTGAGTGCTTTTGTCATGTTTTTATGTTTACTTAGCTCCTGAGAAGTTTCAAAATTGAATTTATCGAACATTGAACATTTTCCAAAAATTACACTGAGACAGTTTTTTCCTCAAAACTCCGGTAATTTTCCGATTTCAATGTCATTAAGCTCGACGTAAAGCCAATGAAATTCTCTACAAGCTATTGATTAACATTTCAATTTAGTTCTAAGAGTTTTGCACCTGAGAAGCTTCAAAAATGAATCTATCGAACATTGAAAACTGTCCAAAAATGATACTAAGACAGTTTTTACCGCGCAGCTCCCTTAACTTGTATCCGATTTCAATGTAATTGAGCTCTAATTAAAGCCAAATAAATTCTCTGTAAACCTAGTAATTAAGATTTTAATTTGGTTCCAACAGTTTTGCACTTGAGAAGCTTCAAAATTGAATTTTTCGAACATTGAAATTTTTCCAAAAATGACACTGCGACAGTTTTTGCCTCACAGCTCTGTTAATTTTCATCCGATTTCAATGTAATCAAGCTCTAATTAAAGCCAAATAAATTCTAGAAACTTTTCAATTAAGATTTTAATTTGGTTCCAATAGTTTATCACCTCAGAAGCTTCAAAACTGAATTTATCAAACATTGTAATTTTTATGTAAATGAGACTGAGACAGTTTTTGACTCACAGCTCCAGTAATTTTCATCCTATTTCAATGTAATTGAGTTCTAATTAAAGCCAATCAAATTCTCTACAAACCAATTAATCAAGATTCTAATTTGGTTTCAACAGTTATGTATCTGAGACTGTGAAGCTTCAAAATTGAATTTTTCGAACATTGAAATTTTTCCAAAAATGACACTGCGACAGTTTTTGCCTCACAGCTCTGTTAATTTTCATCCGATTTCAATGTAATCAAGCTCTAATTAAAGCCAAATAAATTCTCTAGAAACTTTTCAATTAAGATTTTAATTTGGTTCCAATAGTTTTTCACCTCATAAGCTTCAAAACTGAATTTATCAAACATTGTAATTTTTATGTAAATGAGACTGAGACAGTTTTTGACTCACAGCTCCAGTAATTTTCATCCTATTTCAATGTAATTGAGTTCTAATTAAAGCCAATCAAATTCTCTACAAACCAATTAAGATTCTAATTTGGTTTCAACAGTTTTGTATCTTAGACTGAGAAGCTTCAAAACTGAATTTATCGAACATTGAACTTTTTTATTAAATGACACTGACATAGTTTTTGGCTCACAGCTCTGTAAATTTTCATCCGATTCCAATGTAATTAAGCTCTAATTAAAGCCAATTAAATTCTCTACAAAGCTGTTAATTAAGATTTTGATTCGGTTTTAACAGTTTTGCAGCTGAGAAGCTTCAAAATCGAAATTATCGAACATTAAAAAGGACATGGCACACATCTTATGGGATTTCGGGGACCGGTCGAATTTTTTAAAAATTTGGTATGTTGTGGTACTAGCAAAAATAAGCATTTTTCATCATTGCATCAAATCTCTAACTATACAGGGTGACCCAGTAAAGTGGGTCCGAAAATCATAAAACAAGGCTTTTAATTATCGATGTTGCAAGCTACATATTGGGATTTTTCTTTTCGATTTCGCAAATAAATAGTGTAGATAAGCCTAATATACTATACAGGGTGGCTAAGCTTGTGGATTCTTACGAACATTAATCCCAGTTTGAAATTGACAACAGGACCCAAAGACCAAAAGGGTATAATGTTGAGAGCAATCACCTAATGACAATTCATCAGCTGTAACTATTCCTAAAAATCAGTGTGATATGAGATAGTTCCACATATTCAGCATGTGATTTAATATCACACAGGTCAAATAATTGAGTGTGTGGACATTTTTGAGACACACGGTGTAGTTTATTCCAAGTCTTGGATCAAAGAATTATCGGGTTTATTAAACCGATAGTGGGAAAATGGTAACACAATAAGAACAATAAAAATGCAACCTGAATACACTATAATATTTTCACTGAATACACTGCCTATTTGCACTGTCTTGACTACATCTAAGTAACGCATTTGATGGGTACTTCACATTGTATTCATCTTGTCGAGCGTAGCCCAAGTACCAAACGATGCTAGAAATGTGGGAGCACATTTCCAAATAGGCCAGTAATGTTATTTTTAATTGCATGGTGCTCGTGGAACAAAATCACCCAAAGCTGATTTTTTGGGAATATGTAGAGCTAGTTGTCCAGATTAACATACCAAAAGTCCCCACCCCTCCGAGGGTGCAAACGACTACAAAATCGCCCCAATAGGTACAATTTTTATTTATATACTAAATATCTCGGGCACAGTTAATTTTTGGGGAAAAATGCTACATATATAAAAATTAAAGCCAATAAAATTTCCTATAAGCCGGTATAAAAATATAAGTATAATTTTATTGAACCAGAGGACGCGACCGACGCCTAGTAGTGTCTGAATGCTGTACAACAGTAAAAAATCAGTTAGAATCGTTAGTGTAATATAGTGTATAGTATATGCAAATATTTTTAGTGTCAATCGATGAAATTAGTGAGTTTTAGATTTAATGGTGTTACTCTTATTTAAAGTAAAAATGGACAGTGTTCATATAATTCAGGCCCAGCAGCGCTGCAAAACCTTACAAAACAACAGCCATAAGTGACCTAAGATGGGCGTTATGATACAGTCTATTTTATTTTGCCGTGTAGTTTCTAGTTGCGATACCACTTCTGCAATTTATAACAAAGGCAAATTGTCCACATATAGAATTCTAGAGAAGCGACCGAACTTATAAAATAATGTAACCGTTGTTTTTTTTAATCCTAACGCAGAGAGAAATGACATTACCACTGGCAGAGAAAAGTTTGTCTTAGTTCTTTATGGGGCAGGAAAGACAGTAAAAACGCTAAATGAGCTTCGTTTTCTAAAACTCCACCACAATACATCGAGGCAGAGCTTAAATGCGAACTTCTCGTTACCTTCTGTAATATTTCTGATTTCTATATTTGGGTGATCCTTAACTTTCGATGACTAATAGAAAAACACAGAATTTACTGATTACTTTTTGATCTATTGAGCACATGATAAAGAATGACAATTTGCGGATATGGTTGAACATTCCAATATTTCCAATACATATATGGTAGTGGGGACAGTTTCCAGTTTATTGGAAAAATTAAATACAAAATTAAATACACTACACCTTCCTTACCACCAACTTCAGATGCTGCCATCAAATTCAGGAATGAGCCTGGGATGGGGATGGAGGAATCAGAAAACTTCTCTTACCAACTACGGTTAATAAACCAATAGCTCCGGAATTAATCCTCAAATTGATATTCTGAAATTATTGTAAGGCTGATCGTGGAAAGTTGGAAAGCTGTGTAGCTGTAGAGAGTCAGGGCTAAACTGTAAACTGCCCGAGTTTACGTGGACATTGCCCATCATTGACAGAATCTGTTGAAATTTTTAATTCTGTTTCAAATAATTAAACTTCATTCGTTGTTCTAAATGGACTATTTATTTGGGAAAATGTTCACAATTATATTAAGTATACTAGTTATTTAAGATACATACATATGACACGCCACTGACTTAATATATTTTGATACTTTTTCAAACTTTTATATCCATTTAGCATTAAGTTTGGTTGTCCTAAAAAACTTTCTAAACTATTTACTATTTAGATTAAGGGATACGTGATTTTTGGAGAGTGAAAAATAATTAACGAGTTGAGACATTTACTGCACGCCACTGGTTTGATCAAATTATACTTATACAGGGTGTATATTTCAAGTGGTACCATTACTGCTATTTATCCGAAACGGTAAGAGCTGCAAGGTCAGTTAAATTAGAAAAAAGTTGCATTTTTTGCTGCTCATTCCAGAATTGTTTATAGTGCTGCCAAATTTTTTTTATTTTATAAAATACAGAAAACGAGCGAAATTATTTTATCAATGATTTCGAAAACTATTGATATTCGAGGAGTAAGTTTTATAATTTTTTTTGCTCTACAACATGACATTTTCAAATTTCGAATTGGACGTTTCGTAATCGAGGTACTATTATCAACTTCATTTTTTTAAATACGGACTTTGAGTTTTTGTAATTTTTAGAAAGTGCCCTTTATTCCATTTCCTAAAATGACATAAAAAATCCAGTATTTAAAAAAATGAAGTTGATGATGGTAGCTCGATCACGAAACGTTGGCTTCAAAATTTGAAAATGTTGTAGAGCAAAAAAAATTATAATACTTTCAAATTTTAATTTTGTCTCGAATATCAATAGTTTTCCAATTGATGAAATAATTTTGGGCGTTTTTTTTTAGAAATCACCCTATATTTCATGAACTAAAAGGAAATTGGCAACACTGTAAACAAGTCTTGAATGGGCATCAAAAAAGGCAACTTTTTTCTCATTTAACCGACCTTGTAGCTATTTTCGTTTCGTATATAGCAATAATAGTGGTATCACTTAAAATATACACCCTGTATATTATAGCAATTTCTAGGAAACTTTATTGGCTTTAAGCTTTAATTGTAATATCTAGCATTCTTTCCCAAAAATCAGTGATACCCGAAATATTTGGCTCATAAGTAAAAATTCTACCTATCGGGGTGGTTGAGGGGTTCTTTGCACCCTCGGAGGGGTGGGGACTTTTAGTATGTTGATCTAGACAACAAATTCTACATATTTTCAAAAAATTAGTTTTAGGTGATTCTGTTCCATGACGGGACTTAACTGGACTGGAGTAAAAGTTCTAGCACCAACTTTGTATGTGCAGTATGTGTCCAATATTGGAACCCTCCATTCGGCACAGGGGAAAGCAAAAATGATACAGAAAGAAAATTTGGTAACTATTCCTAAGAATAGGGCAGGATTACGGAAATACGCAATCTTAGCCACCCTGTATAATATATTAGGCTTATCTAGACATTTATATTTGCGAAAACAAAAATCCCAATATGTAGCTTACAGGGCGCGCCAACATCGATAATGAAAAGCCTTGTTTTATGATTTTCGGACCCCCCACTTTATTGGGTCACCCTGTATAGTTAAAGATTTGGAGCAATGTTGAAAAATGCTTATTTTTGCTAGTATTCATACCAAATTTTTTACAAAATCGACCAGTACCCGAAAACCCATAAGATGTGTGCCATATCCTTTGCCAAAATTTTATTTATTTATCCAAAAAGTATTACTAAAAATGGAGTTTATAATAAGGGTAAACAGTGTACAATCTTACAAAAAAAAAATCAGGTAATATATGAATAATACTCATAGACAAATTTGTTGAGGAAAGGCACTTAGACTAGATGCTGTTGGAACTTTGATACACATGAAGAAATTTTTTACCTATATTTGAAGTCAAATATCTCAGAAAGTATAAGAGATATTTGATTGCGGTTTGAAGTATTTTGGGGCGCATTGTTTGGTGTTCAAGGCATATGGTATCGTGCTGATGAACAGAAAAGTTATCTACAACTTACAGGGTGAACAATAAAACAGTGCAAAGTTTAACAAATTTCAGGATGTCGCCATTTCTTTTCAAACATACTCCTGATTTTTTTCTGGGTTTAAGAAGAATCAATGGTAAAACACGACTTGAAGGGTTTTTGAATAAATCTCGTAGTTTTGCAGAAATTTCAGTTTAATTAAGATTATGTGATGTGTCAATTGTGTCATACTCCCCCACCATCAAATTCTGAGATATTCGAGGATCAAGAACACTTAATTTCTTCTGTGAGAACAGACCGAAAATCATCTTTTCTACATTTAAATCGTCGAAAAAATTAACTCACTAGCACAGCCTGAATCGTGAGCATTCCATCGAGGTCTGCGGGTGACGCCATCACTATAAGCTACTGATAGTGACGTCACTCGTAGAATTGGATGGAGAAGGAGTTAGGGGAGTATGACACAATTGACACATTACATAACCCAGCATAATCAGATTATGCTTGATTATCCTCGCGAAAAATTGCCTATTGTACTTGCTATTGTATAACCATTCTGAGAGCAAAATATGATTATATTATGTTTTTAGGTGAAAAAGCTATTCTGTTCTCGAGACGCCGAGATATTTGGTGAATAGGCTTGTTCAGTGAAGTTTCATTTACCACGTTTTTTGATATTTTTATGAAGTATTACTCACATATAGTACACAAAAAAAAATTCAGCTCAATTGGATAACTATTAAAAAAGTTATGCGGCTTTGAATATTAAAACATTATGCCTCAGAAATTCATCGCTGAGAGATGCTATGACGTCATCTCTCGAGTCAAGACGGGCTAAAGGCCGTCACACGACCAACGTGAGAGATGCAGTGACGTCACCGTGTGTTTCAAAACTTTCAAATTTGGATCGTTTTGATAATTTATTTAAATATGAACAAGGGCTCAGAAAATTATGAAATTTTGCACAACTGCTAAACTCAATACGCTCTTTTAGAATATGTAATAAAAAAAAATATGCTGTACGAGCCTATTATTAGCACGTACATGTCATCACGGGGGGCTATTTATACAGGGGTGGTAGAAAGTACCGGAACGGTTGAATTTCTCTCTAAATTCTAACCCGCTTAAAAAACCTGCATTTTCAAATTTCGTTATCTGTAGGTTTCCGGACATACAAAATTGAATGATTCAATGATATCGGCGCTGCTGCCAGATCTACAAGCTCTGCCCTACATCATTGTCCAATTTCGTTTGCCCAGAAACCTCCAGATAACGAAATTTGGGAAAGCAGCATAAGTGGGTTTGGAGAGATTCAACTGTTCCGGTACTTTTTACCACCCCTGTATAAGTAGCTCCCTTATGACATGCTACATGCTAATAGTTCACTAAATATCTCGGCTTCTCGAGAACAGAATAGCTTTTCCACCTAGGAAACATAATATAACCGTATTTTACTCTCAGAATGGTTATACAATGAGGCAGAGAAAGCTTGGTGCCATATCAATTAACAAAGAAATTATCTTAGTTTTAGTTCCAAGTTTTCGACAATATAGATTCTACAATTTTTTCGAAACAGATTGATTCTTTCAATGGCCTTTATTTCTAGAGGAATAATGTTATTCATCTCTTTAAGTAATTGACAAACCTGAGATTAATATTTTTGTTGCTTCTCGGTATTTGAATGTGTCTGTTCACCCTGTTTCGCGTTTCGTATATATAATTCACATAATTTTTCAAATTATATTTTTATGTATAAAAGAACAAATCTCCTAGATGTACAATGACCTAACTCTCAATATTTGATGCGTATACAATTGTGCAGTTGACTATCTTCTACCTTTCTTGTCTATAACTTGGCTCAGTAGACCTGGCCCTCCCCAGTTGATAATTTTTATCCAAAATGCTAGCCCTCGTTCTCCAGAGCTAGCGCAACCTAGCGCAACTTTTTCGAAAGCTAGCGCAGCTACAGGTCAAAAGATATGTGGCTTTATATTCGGGGGAGGGGCTAGGGTGACGCTAGCCCCCCCAGTTATTCGATCTTCTCAAAAATGCTGGCGCACATTCGTAACACCTAGCGCAGCCTAGCGCAAGTTGTGTCATAGCTAGCGCAGCTATCGTAGCTGTCATACAGGGTGGACAAAAAAAATCATGAGCCCCTACAAGTGATTTTTAATTTTTCAAAAATATATATGAAGCTTCCTTAAAGCTAGCGCAGGTAAAATTCGAGCAACCGCATTACCCTTTTAAAACATATACAGGTATTTATTCGGGGGGGGGGGGGGCTAGATCAACGCTAGCCCCCCCCAGTTGTTAAATCCTTTTTAAAAGGCTAGCGCAACTTCGTGACACCTAGCGCAAGTTGTGTCATAGCTAGCGCAGCTATCGTAGCTGTCATACAGGGTGGACAAGAAAAATCATGAGCCCCTTGTCACTTGTAGGGGCTCATGATTTTTTTTGTCCACCTTGTATGACAGCTACGATAGCTGCGCTAGCTATGACACAACTTGCGCTAGGCTGCGCTAGGTGTTACGAATGTGCGCCAGCATTTTTGAGAAGATCGAATAACTGGGGGGGGCTAGCGTCACCCTAGCCCCCCCCCGAATATAAAGCCACATATCTTTTGACCTGTAGCTGCGCTAGCTTTCGAAAAAGTTGCGCTAGGTTGCGCTAGCTCTGGAGAACGAGGGCTAGCATTTTGGATAAAAATTATCAACTGGGGGGGGGGGGGGGGGGGGGCAGGTCTACTGAGCTCTATAACTTTAAGTATATAGTTCTGAACAGTGTTTAACTGTCTCAGACAGTTCTGATATAGCCTACCCCACACAACTATACCGTAACGTATTATTGATTCGACAATGGTGAACAGTTGCAAAAAATGACATTGAGGCAGTTTTTGTATCAAAGCTCCAGTAATTTTCATCCGATTTCAATGTAATTAAGCTCTAATTAAAGCCAATTGAATTATCTACCAACCTTTCGATCAGGATTCTAATTCAGTTTCAACAATTTTGTATCGGAGACTGAGTAAATTCAAAATTGAATTTATCGAACATTGAAAATTTTCCAAAAATGACACTGAGACAGTTTTTGCTTCACAACCCCGTTAATTTTCATCCGATTTCAATGTAATTAAGTTCTAATTAAAGCCAATTAAATTCTCTATAAACCTATTAATTGAGATTTTGATTCAGTATTAACAGTTTTGCAGCTGAGAAGCTTCAAAATCGAAATTATCGAACATTGAAAATTTGCCAAAAATTACATTGAGACAGTTTTTGCCTCACAGCTCCGTTAATTTTAATAGGATTTCAATGCCATTGAGCTCTAATTAAAGCCAATTAAATTCTATGCAAACCTATTAATTAAGATTTTGATATGGTTTCAAGTTTCAACAGTCTTGCAGTCTTGCACCTGAAAAGCTTCAAAATTGAAATTATCCAACATTGGAAATTTGCCAAAAATTACATTGAGACACTTTTTGCCTCACAGATCCGTTAATTTTTATCCGATTCCAATGTAATGAAGCTCTAATGAAAGCCAATGAAATTTTTCACAAACCTGTCAATTTATTTTAGCTTCAACATTTCGTAGCTGAGAAGCTTCAAATCCGAATTTATCTAACATTGAAAATTTGCCAAAAATTACATTGAGACAGTTTTTGCTTCATAACTCCGGTAATTTTTTAGATTTTGGATGGATATTTGGTACTATTGTAGGAAGGAATTCTGTATGAGTGAGTTTTTGACACAAAAAGCCCAAAGCCTATTGGATTTTTGTGTCAAAAACCCAGTTGTATCAAAAACCTACTGGGTTTTTGAAATGGGTTTTTATGTATGCCAACCCTGATTTGACCACATCTTTTGCTGCTCAAGCAAAACTCCATGCCCTCTGTGTCCACCATTGAAAATACATTCATTTGTTGAGTAAATCAGAAAAAAATTGGTAATTAGATAATATCTAGGTGTTATAGTTTAGAGATTGAATGTAGAAGCCCTTCAAAGAAAAGGGTAGGCTTTCGAGTCACCACTAACTAGTGGGAACGCCTATCTATTTTTCGAACGTCAGTAACCATTTTCTTTTTCTTTCAAATTAATTTTCCATTGAAGTCCCTCCCAGGGACATAAATATGTTCATGGTTCTTAAGGAAACCCACCTATAAACAACATTTATTAAATTCCAGGAAGTATCTTCAGTTATGTCGTTCGCTTCAAGCTCAGGCGGAGTCCCAATAGACAGAGTCTTATGCGATCCAAGGTCTTCCCAACAACCGGGAGCCAAAATCGACATGGTCAACAATTTACTAGCGATGCTGAGCAGTCAAGAACAAGTGGACATGGGCGAAACCTTATTAGCTCTAAGCAGTTGCCCGGAAAGTTGTCTTGCAATGCGCCAATCAGGTTGCATCCCCTTATTAGTTCAACTAGTTCAATCGGACAAGGACGTGGATACGCGAAAAAAGGCAGCGCAAGCGTTGCACAATTTGGTAAACTCGCAACCCGACGAAAAAATCCGCAAACGCGAAATTCGAATATTGAAGTTGCTGGAAGATACTCGCAGGTATATTGCGTGCTTGAAGTATAATTTGGAATTTGAAATGGATGATAGCATGATTGCCGGCATGAGCCCGGTGCATTCTCAAGACGACGGTGATAAACACCCTGTACAATTAATAGCTCATTTAATGAAGCTGTCTTTTGATGAAGGCCACAGGCAAGCCATATGTCAACTAGGTGGAATACATACTGTAGCAACTCTAGTCGAAACTGAACATGGTTTACATGGCAGCTCTATGCAAGATGGCCATTGTTTATTGATGCGCCGATACGCATGCATGGCACTCACAAACTTAACATTTGGAGATAGTGGAAATAAAACACTTTTGTGTTCGTTTAAGGAATTCATGAAAGCGCTTATTTTACAACTACAAAGCCCCAGTGATGAGTTGAGACAAGTGACAGCTAGCGTGCTGAGAAATCTATCTTGGCGTGCTGATTCAACAAGCAAAGATATTTTACGTGAAGTTGGAAGCGTTACTGGTTTAATGAAGGCAGCTATGTTACAAAACAAAGAAAACACTTTGAAGTCTATTCTGTCAGCACTTTGGAATCTGTCTGCACATTGCACTGAAAATAAATCAGAAATTTGTGCTGTCAGCGGTGGCTTAGGGTTTTTAGTTAATATGTTAACCTACAAAACCCCTTCAAAGAGTTTAGCTATAATCGAAAACGCTGGTGGTATTTTAAGGAACATTTCAAGTCAAATCGCTGTACGAGATGACTACAGAGAAATTCTACGTAAGCACAACTGTTTGCATGTTTTATTGGACCAACTAAAGTCACCTAGTTTGACAATAGTATCTAATGCTTGTGGTACTTTGTGGAACCTTTCAGCCAAAAACGCCCAAGATCAAGATACCTTATGGCAAATGGGTGCTCCAGCTATGCTCAGAAGTCTAAACCATTCAAAACACAAAATGATTGCTATGGGTTCGAGTGCAGCTTTAAAAAACTTGCTCGGTTGCAGGCCCCAACAAAGTTTATTGCAAAAACTAGACTCCACTGCGCTCTCTCTGAATTTACCAGAATTACCTACATTAGGTGCTAGAAAGCAAAAAGCTTTGATGCAAGAATTGGATCACAACTTGACTGAAACTTATGAAAATATTGATAAGGACTCGCCTGGTAAATCTACTGCTAGTAGTGCAGATGTGGTCTTTATACGCAATTCAGACACTGAATTAACTAATCAGTTTGCCAGTTTGAATTTAAATGAACCTTCAACCAGCCATGCTTTAGATACGAGACACAAAATCGCCAAAAATTATGCTGGTTCAAGTTTACCATACGTTCCACAACCAACTAAACGTACAAATCCAACCTCTTTTCTACCAGTAAGAAAATATCCTGAAGATGGCACTCATGAACAACCGATCGATTATAGTCGCAAATATACAACTACAGAACAAAAAGAAAACTACACTGACAAAAAGGATAGTGATAGTTTTGATATAGGTTATACTGAAACCGATTTGGATCAGCCAACAGATTATTCCTTAAGGTACGCTGAAGATGATTCGGATTCGGAAAGTTGCAGCAACAAAATGACCAAGGAATATGTGCAAGATACTGTAAAAACTTATTGTACTGAAGGTACTCCTTATGAAACACCTTTCGCGTTTTCCACAGCAACCTCGATGTCAGATTTGAGGAATGTCGGCGCAACAGATGACAAGCCTGAAATTGATAATGATTTGCAAAAGGAAAACAATAAAAAAGACTGTAAGGAGACGAAAAATGTCGATGAAAAAGACCGTTGTTCGACCGAAGACATTTCAGAAATGGACAATGTGCAAATCAAAGAAAAATCTGAATTCAGCTCTGGCGTGATGTCACCGGATAAGCCTATAAACTATTGCGACGAGGGCACGCCAGTTTGCTTGTCGCGATTTAGCAGTTTTGAATCGGGATTAAATTCCATTCCGGCCAACGAAACTGTTTTAAAAAAAGAACCAAAAAAAGAAACTAAAAACGAATCTCCTTCAGTTCAGAAAGCTGAAAAACCAAGCAGTGAGAAGATTAGTAGTAGTAGTACTCCTAAGGCACCCAATGAGACTAAGGCTGTGAAATTTGAACAGGTAAAAATTTGTCTAGTGGATTTTGGAGTTTATTTTTAAAAAAAAAAAAAATTTTAGGTTGTAAATTATGCTGGGCAAACTCCATTGATGTTTTCAAGATCGAGCTCGTTGGCATCTTTGGATAGTATTGAACAACATTCTATACACGATGATAGAAGCTCGGTTGTTTCAGATTTCAGGTAAGAATAATATTGGACTTAATAGGGATTTTTACATATTTTACATTTTTTTTTTGTGCTGTACCTATAGTAATAGGACTAGTTCTGTGTAAGTATGATTATTTTGTTCAATACAAGCCTAAATTAATTATTTTTTAACTGTTATCTATTTGTATTTTCAGTCGCCTAACAAGTGGTTTAGTCTCACCAAGCGAGCTACCTGATTCTCCAACACAAACAGTACCTTCCAGTCCTCGACCTACCAAGCAAAAATTAGAATTTCCCAGTTCTTCCAAAAACCAGCCTGTTAGAAGGCATTCCGCTGAAACCAAACAACAAAAGGTGTTACCGAAGGCAACCTTTTTTGAAGACAGTGTTATCAAGTTTAAAGAAGAAAGCACGCCTATGCAGTTTTCAACTGCAACTAGTTTGAGCAGTCTTAATTTAGAGGATCACGAAGATGGTGAATCTAGAACTAAGGTAAAATTATACCCTCTGCAGAAAAAAAAAATCATTACATAAAATCCTTTTTAAGACTCCAGATACTAAAGTGGTTCAATCTACGTCTGCCGCAAATACATCAAATAAAGAAGAACAAGGAGAACAGCAAGAAAAAGCAGATACAGAAAAGGAAAAAGAAACAAGCGGATCTGACGATCTTAATGAAGATTCAGACGGGGACGACGATATACTTGCTGCTTGCATTAACGATGGAATGCAGTCAAATATGTAAGATTATAGATTATTGATTTTGTCAAAATTATTTAATTAAACTGTCGTAGATCTATTCCCACTGTCAGTTCCACTCCCACAAAACTACCAACTTTCAAATATCAGCCAGCCAAAATGCCTGGAACTAGCACAGGTATTCCGATGATGAGACGTACTCCACCCAGACATTTACCTGTCAGGAATACCAATTTGGATGATCTAACTAGGACTTACTGTACTGAAGATACACCTGCTCAGCTTAGTAGAGTTGGTAAGGATTGTTTATTTTTTGTTTAAGTTTTTTTCAGAGGGTAAACCACCCCCCCCTCAAACTACCCGCAAATTCCTTCAAATTCCTCACAAATCTCATTTGAGTATTTTCAATGCAACTCCAATAGTTTCGTAGCTGCAAAGCTTTAAAGCCTTTCGACTTTGATTTTTATCAAGGTGAGCGCGTGAAAGCAAATTTTTATTTTTTTTTTCTTAAATTTCAATCCTTTCTTCATCCACTTGCAAAATTTTAAGCCACCAGCTATACCTACGGCAATGACAGGAATTGTCATATTTGACAAAAAACCATCGTAGAGAAAAGACAGATATACCATGGATTTACCAAGGGCCATATTCTCCGTAGTTCATAAAGCCTGGCTTAGTGGAAACGCTTGGCTTTTTGTGTGACAAAGCCGAGCTTTTCCACTAAGCCAGGCTTTATGAACTACGGAGAATATGGCCCCAAATGATTTACCCTTTTACCCAAAATAGCGAAAAATGACAAGACCTGTCAGTCGGGTGTCCCACTTTTAATGCTCCCAACTGTATGTTGTGATGTCTAACCTAACGTCTAACCACAGCGTCTAACATTGACAAGTCGAGAAGATAGCAGAATATTATGGTTTATGGTTGATGAAAAAAAAAAGGCTACCTGGTCCAAGTATTTTTATTTTTTTGAAGGTTCGACCATCCTATTTTTTGTCCTCGAAGATAGTACAATAATCGTCTAAATATTTCGGTTTTCTTCTTAGTCGTTTCCCTTCATCGGGTTTTTGTCTATGTTCTGAATTTATTGTCGCAATCGGGCTTCTAGTCTCATCGTCACCATAGTTCACCATTATATGATTCTCAGACTCTTCTTGTTCTAGTTCATCATCATCATAGTCATCTTCGGAATCATCACATTCAGATAGTTTGAATCTTTTCATTGCATCAACAGCAACTACTTACTTCTTTGTAGAACTTTTGAGTTCGCTGCGTCTCAGGAAGGTCTTCTATTCGATATCTCATTTGGTAATTTCTCCACAATAACATAAGGTCCTTTATATTTTTCCAATATTTTCTTTGATTCGCGTGATGTAGGTGGATTTGATTGTTTTCTAACTAAGACAAGATCTCCTGGAATGTAGTTTGTCTCTTTTGCTATTCCTTTATTAAATATCTCTCTCTGCTTCTCTTAATCTTTTCTAATCTTTTCTCATGCATCTTGTCTTCGTTTTTCTATATCTTCAACAGTCTTGATTCTCTAGCTCATCTTGTATGACGTCACCATCTATATATATCTTGGTTTGAAGCTGAATAATAAATCAAAATTTGTTCTTTCTGTAGCTCTGTACAAAGTATTATTAATTCCATACTGAATTCTATCAACATATTTATTCCAATCTTCACCATTTCACCTTCTTCACATACTTGCTAGTGCTGGAATCAAATATCTATTTACTTGTTCTATTTGTCCGTTTGCTCCCGGAGTCGACATAGCAGTTAAAATATGACTAATCTTTTTGTCTTTGCATAAGTTCTTGTACGGAGTTTCAGTAAATGAAGCACCTCTATCTGTATTACTTCTGTGTGGTGTACCTACTATATTCATTATTTCTTCTAAGGCTTTTGCGCAAATCACTGATCTCGTATTTCTGACTGGTTTTAAGAACCCAAACTTTGTGAATCCGTCTATTATCAGTAGATAGATATAGATAGATAGATATAGATAGATAGATATATATTTCTCGTTCTTTCAGCATTTACAATAAATACTTAATACCTATGTGGCATAGAACTCGTCCTTACGTCTAACATTTAATAACAAAAAAACAAAAAAATAAATAATAAAACAATAAAATAGGTACATAAAACACAATACTGATTGATTGATTCCTAAAAATGATTTCTGTTTTACAATATTTGGTACAATTTCACGTCACTTTTACATTTATCATTATTATCTTATTCTACATTTCGAAATGCATCCTCATCCTCAGTAGTATGTATTGTTTTCCTTTTGTACTCTTGATAAAGGGTCCCGGTAGTCAAGTGTAACATGTGAAATGGGAAACCAATTTTGTCTATAGAATGAAGTTTGCCTGGAGGTTTTCCACTAGGTATTTTATTGTATAAACAATCTATGCAAGCTCCAATATAGTTCTTCATTCTTGGCCACCAGTAGAGTTTTCTAAGTTTATCCAAAGTTTTTGGAAGAGCGGGGTGTCCTGAATCATCGTGATATTTCTTCGTGATCCTCCATCTAATTTTACTAGGTACAACCCATAATAAATCTTCATTTTGTTTCTTAAATAATCTACCATCTCCAATCTCACACTCATGTCCTATTCTCTTCTCTTCTTTAGTAATCTTCGACTTTTTGGCTAATAATTCCAAAATATTCTTAAGTTTTGGATCTTCTTTCTGATATAAATACATATAACTTATCATATTTGTCAAGTGTGTTCATCATCACTTGTAAACCATCTGAGCAATCTGTTTTTTCTGTCTCACCAATCGGATAGCGTTACAACGCATCTACATGGGCCATTCTTGCCGCAGGTCTATGTATTACGTCAAATCTAAACTCTTGCATTTTCAGCTACCAACGCCCTATTCTTGGAATTAAAAATACTTTTTAGTGAATGAACTTCTCAATGCATTGCAATCTAAGGTATACTCTCAATCTCTCCAATACCCAAACTAAGCACAAAGTTTTTAATTCTGATGAGTGATATTTCTGTAATCTGTCTACTCACATATATATATACTATTCACATGTGCAGGTAAATTTATCACCTTTCCCTATCAAATAGCATTGAAATGTGATTTTACCTGTACCTACCTGTGGACATCGGATTGTGAACCCGATAATATTAGAGATAAAACCAACTGAGAAGAAACCACCGCGTGATCTTTTATCTCACTTCAAATGGAAGAGCCCTAGAGAAAAGGGAATTTGCCTTCTTCGTCAGTGATGACGTCAGGGGTTCTTCTCAGTTGATTCTTATTCTACAGGATGCATCAGATCATCTGCCTGTCTCTGAAGAATCATACCGCCAAATCCAATTAAGCTGGCATCTGTGTGTACCTCTGTATACGCTCCGGGCTTATGTAATGCCAAAACATCAGTCTCAGTTAGCTCTTTCTTCAACTGGTCGAATGCCTGCCTGCGTCCCATTTTAATTCTACATCTTTAAAAAGCAAATCTGGTAAGGGTTTGGCCTTTATCGCGTAATTACGGATAAATCAACAAAAATATGAGGAAAGTCCCAAGAATTGTCTGTCACACTTTTAGGTTCAGGAAAGTCTAAAACACACTTTAATTTTCTTCTACCTGGTTTAATCTCGTTTGACGATATTTCAAAACCTAAGTAATCGAAAAGGAAATAACATTTCTTTAAATTTAACTTTTAGTTCGCACGCCTTGAAACTTTGAGTATTTCCTCTAAATTTTCAAGTCCTTGATCAACCGATATTGCCGGTAAAAGCAGGCCATCCATATATGCTTAACGCAAAGGTCCGAGTACACTATTTATTAATTTTTGAAACACTGCCGGTCCATTAACAACCCCAAAGGGCATGCGCGTAAATTGAAACATACCTTCTGGCGTCACGAACACGGTTTTACGCTGTGAGTCTTTTTCAACCGGAATTTGATAGTAACCACTTCACAAGTCTAATGTGAAATATTTCATACCGAAGTTGGTTATTGATAAGTGGAAGCGGGTAGTTTATCTTTGACCTTATTTAAACCGCGATAGTCGATACAGAGTCTTTCTTCAACCGTCTTTTTACGTACCACTAAAATAAGGCTAGCGTAGTTCGAATTCAAATCAATAATGATACCTACGTTCTTGAGTTCCTTTACCATCTCACGAACTTTCGCTCTCTCACTAAAACTCTGTCTATATGGTCGAAAAGTAACCGGGTCTTCTGTTAAGGTCTCTATTTTAAACGCAACTTCATTACAACATCCTGATTCTGAGAAATTAAACGCGAAACAGTCAATGTATTGATTAAGCAAATCACTATCCGAGTTTGCATTGACCATATCCATTGTTATCTTTCGACCATTATCTTTGTTCACTTCATCCATCTTCACTTCAACACACTCTACTTCTACTTTTTCTTGACATATCTCTGCTCTTATTAGTTTTTCATGTTCATCTAGTTTTATTTCTCTGCTTGTGATATTCATAATCGGTATCTTAGCTTATCCGTGATCATATAAATGAATTATGCATCTAGGAATACATCTTTCATAAAAAATTTGACATTCTACGAATAAGTCTTGATTTTTGTTATTTTCTGTATAGACTGTAATATAACCAACATAGTTTGATGGTATTATGCATGAGTTTTTAGCCCATGAGTTCTCTAAGGCTTGGGCAACTCTGGTATCTTCAGATCCTTCAAACAGTCATCCAGTTTACCTTCATTCTTTTCTTCAAAGATTCTCAGTAAAGTGCCTCTTCATATTATTACAATATGTTCTTGTAAAACATCATCTGATACTATGTGAATGTCAGTTCTAGCATGCGCCCTGGTCTAACCCTATTGTCAACATTTCTCGCTATGCCCAAAGGCTTGATTTTTCCTTCGCCACAACCTTTGATCCACATGTCAATTTGTCATACTTTAATTTTATGTTTTCAGCATCTGATAATTTCGGCATATTGCATTGACTACCTAAGTCCACATAAAATTTTATGCTGTTCTCATTGATAGTTGCTTCCTGAGAATACTTTAGATTTTGCTCTTTTATACCACTATTTTGTGAGTTTATCGGTATTGCTGTGGTTCGCTGGTTCGTCTAAAGTGCTTCAGGGAGGGTTGAGGGTTGATTCTGGGAGCTATATTTCGAAATGTACCCATATTTATTGCATATGAAACAAAGGGGCTTGTCTTTCTGGGTGTTAAGTATCTCGAAGAGTGCTATTGACCCTCTATTCTGGTATTACCAGTTTGTCTTGGTGTCTTAGCTGCCTCATTACTCAATGTATGTGGTGCCTGGTTCTGCTTCTCACTTGTTTTCTGAGCATTATTCATGTTTTCCTTGTTCGCGTTAGTTCTAACGAAGTTACCTTTATGAATGCTAGTAAAACGCTGCTGACGCCTACTATCATTGTCTGCGTAGCTGTGCAAGTCTTGAAATAATGCATCTGTGCTCAGTGCTATGATGCCTTTCTGCCCACATTGCATCGCGCATTGATCGAGAATGTAACCCAATAAGCACTTGCTCTTTGATTTCATCTATTTCTAGATCTAAATCCGTACATAACTTTAATTTCTTATGAAAATATGAATTTAAACTTTCATTTTTGCCCTGAACTCTGCTCTACATTTTCTTAAATTTCAATGGCAAGCTTTCTTTATCTCAAATCTCATTATGCTTAGTTGAATACCAATATTCAGATCCTTTTACTAACCTCGTTCTTGCTGTTTCCAGCATGTAACTGTCTGGAATTCGGTGTAGGGTTTGCGCACTATTTAATGTGTCCAACCACAAAACTGCCTTCGAAGGGGTTGCATCAAAATTCTCAATGTTTCTCAACATTTCTGGGAACACTTTGTGAGTGTTAGGGGGCTATGGGGTGATCAGCTGGCTGTGCAGGTGCTGCCCCACTGTTCGTAATCATCTGATTTACCAATCTTTCGATCATTTCACCTCTACGTTTATTTTTTATCATTATATTCCGAAAAAGCTCATTTGAATCAACAATTTCTACCTCTGTTTCAGCTCCGTTTCTAGTACTTGAGTTCCTGCATGTTCCTGTTGGAGTACCACCGTTGAAACCGTCTCTGGAATCATGAAAATCGTCTCTTTCTTCGTCACTCATCTTACGACACCTTTCGTTTCAACTTCACAAATAACTTCACGACTTCACTGTCCTCACATCTCTACAGTCTTCAGTATACGTTTTTCAAAAAGAACTCTCGAAAGGCTCAAATTGTGCCTGTTACAAATTTCGTGAAAATCCCCAAAATTGTTGGTAATAAATAATAACAATAACAAAAAAAATCTCCCAATTTCTTATACATTCCTCCAATTTCCCATAAATTCCTTTAAATTCCCCACAAAGTTCTACAAATTCCCCACAAATTCCTCTTAATTCCCCACAGTTCTGGCAAAGAATTCCTAGGTAGTTTGTCTCTTGGTTTTTGTAATGTTAAAACATCTTTTTTTTTTAGGTTCAAATTCTAATTTGAGTGAATTGTCGATACCCACTACTAACCAGAGCAAAACTATAGATTTTTCTGATGATTCTAGTAATTTGTCTGGTGACAACGAGAATCTATTAGAGGCATGTATACAATCGGGTATGCCTATGGCTAAAGAGGATCCAAAAGGTAATTTTGCATGAAAAATGTCTTGGAAGTAAGAAAAACTAAATAAAAACTTCTACTGTGTTTTGAATGGGGCAGTTGAGTTGGTATAAAATTGTGGACAAGTGAAAAATTATTGTTTCATTTCAGCAAATCAGTCGTCAAACAAAAGCAAAACTACTGACCTATCTGACGATTCCAGTAATTTATCAGGCGACAACGAGAACCTTTTAGAAGAATGCATCCAATCGGGCATGCCTAAAGCGAAAAAAGACCCTCCAAAAAATATACCCACGGTTAGCGTACTTCCGAGACGTACACTGCAACCTCCGAAACAACAACAACAACAACGTCCCCAATTAGAAAACCAAACGCCCAGCTCGAGTATCGCCGTACGGAAATCCGATGAAGCCTCAAAAGCGCCCCGGTCCCATTCCAATTATAATAAACAGAGAGTTTTAGAAAAGATCGATAGCAATAGACGGAAAGGTTACGAAAAAAATGCAGAGGCGGGTAGGAGGGAGACGTCTTTACCCCCCTATTTGCACTTGAGGGATGAAATTGCGAATTACCAGGTTGAGGACAGTCCGTTTCAATATTCGTTGAGGTCAAGTTTAAGCGATCTGACTGTCGATGGCAGTGTAGCTGGTTCAAAACCGTAAGTAACTTGACCTTTTCATAAACAAACATAATCCACACCTTATCTTAATCCTATGATATTCTTATCTTTATTAAAAGATATATTTTCAACTTGCATTTTTATGGTAAAGATAAAATTTTCACAGTACATTTTTTAATCAATGCTTTTTTTAGGTCTGGCAAAATACAAAAACCACCAACTAAAGAAGAACAGGGTGCAACTGCTGGGCCTAGTAGAAAACCTTTATCGTCAGGTAAGAATTTGTAGTGAAATAGGATTTTCCATATTTCACACATAAATTGAATGTTCCATTTAGCAACTTTTAGTTCAGTTCAAATCACTTTTTTATTTCTGTTCTAAACCTTATCATTTGATGATTCAGATACCAATAAATCTCCTGACGGAGCCAACCAATTGAACAAGCTCCATCGCAAAGAATCCTTTTCTTCTGTAAGCTCAATGGCTTCAAACGAAAGTGACCAAGCTTTACTCAAGGAATGCATTTACTCTGGAATGCCAACAGACAAGAACGAAGAAGCTTTGCTCAACGAATTAATACAAGCTGGAATGCCTCAGAGTAGGACTAGTAGCAGAAATGGTAAGAATTTATTTATTTATTAATTTTTAGTAATTTTTATTTCTTACAGAAACTTCAAGTAGACCTGTTCCAAACACAAGACCTTTAAGCCAAAGAGATGAGTTTTTGGCACAAAGTCAAAACGCAGAGGCTAGCAACAGGTCAGTAAATTGTTCCAACTAAGTCAAAAATTATCATTAGGTTGTGCAGGAAATGTTGGGATTTTTTAAATCTGAACTGACATTTCTAGGTCAAAAAACGTGAATGCTGCGTCTGTTGCCGAGAGCACAGCGGTAGCGCGACCGCTGGCAAACATGCAACGTCCCGAAAAGTCAAACACGGCGGCAGGCGTAGAAAAAGGTCCCGGACTGGATCGGAACGATCAGATCGACACAGGGAAAGCGGCAGAAGTCTCGGCGACAATCCCGGCCCATCAACAAGCGCCAGAGGATCGGAAAACAGGGACCCTTCCAGTAGCCGATACGTTACAGGGCAGATTCTTGCACTCAGACGAGAACTTCTCGACAGGTAACATGTGCCACATGTATTGCAGTAGTTATTTACAAAGATATTTTTCTAGATCAAACGAAGAGTGGATCTAGCAAATCCGTCAGTCAGTTTTTGGAGGGCAGCTTCGAAAACGACTTTACTTATTCGAATTCCGACAATTGCGCGAATCTCGATCACGCTTTCACAAAGAGCTGTGAAGAGTCGGGCAATTTGGTGGACAATAGAATGCTGGATCCCGATGCTATGATTGAGTCGCTTGACAGGTAATTTGAGTCAAGCTCAGTTGTTAGACTTTCAGGTAACACTAATCTTTGTAGGTTTACTGCTGAATTGGTAAGCCAAGCAAGCCACCTAACCAGAGAAAAAAACAACAGTCAAAAGTTATCGAATAACGACGATAATACTTGGAATGACGATACGTCTCATAATGAAATAACTTTTCCTACTCTATCAGAAAGTGTGCCAAATGTTATTACTTTCGAAGATGACAGCAGTAATTTAGATGTCGTTGATGCAGTAGAGATCCACGACGAAGGAATCAGCAACGATTTTTCTTCCCTAAACACAACCACAATGACAGAAAGTACTCTTATAGCACTTGAAGCCAATAAAATGGTCACCGTTTTCAAAAAAGAAGCTGAAATGTCTTTGAGTACAATAAGTGCCAAATCATTTGATCTGGATTCGGTAAAGCCACCATCGCAACTGAATTCTTTAGCAAACAGTATTACAAGCATTCCAAGAAGTCCTAAATTAGCTTCAAGAAAAAAATCACTTCCAGGCAGTCTTTTAGTAAAAAGGGCCCTAAATAATTCCATGAACCATAGTTCAAGCATGGAAAGTTTAGATAACAACATTGAAGCCTTGAATCCTCCATCAGAAATGTTCAACTTGGACATGGATAATAGCATAACAAGCATAGCAAGTTTACCATGTGAAAGCGCAGAAATTCCAGGCAAAAACCAACCTCATCCAATATTTACAGTGAAACAACAGTTCATCCAATCAGGCTTATGTAGTTTCAATGCAGACTTGGAAATGGTCAATCCTCCATCGATATTTAATGATATCACGGACATGTGCAATTCCTTAGCTGACGTTGCTACTGATATTATTGGGACTGAAACATCTATTTTTCAGGATTGTCTCACGCAGGCAGCTGATCAAACATATGTTGACAATACTTTAGCGGTAAGAATATACTTATTTTGGGAATTTTTTGTATGAGTTACATTGGTTTTTAGAATGACACCACAGAATATAGTGATGCTAACAGCGTGACCCCCATACAAACTGATATTAGTAGCGCGGAAAATACACCTAAAAGAACTCCCAAGACTTTGAATAAAACAATGATGACCAAACAAAAAAGGAATATGGCTAGAGATAGGTTAGTTTCTTGTAGTGAATAATTTCCAAAACATTACTGATTATTTATTTTTATTTCAGATACAAAACTTACGTTGTAGCAGCAGAAAAAGTAATGCAAGAATCCATCGAATTAGAAAAAGGCAAAACACTAGAATCCCCCATAAGTGAAGATTACATGACCGTCAACGACAAAACTGAGCCAATGAGTGAAGCAACTTACACCATTGAAACAGCCACCTACACAGTTGAAAATCCCAAGCTAACACCAAAAGAACGAAGGCGATTGGATAGGGCACGGTTCGAAACTCAGGTGCTAGACGAGACTACAATTTTGCTCAGCGATTTTGCGATTAAAGAGTCCGGTGTGGAATCAGGTGCTTCTAGTGCTAGTCCGAGTCCTACAAGGAGTAAATTGAGTATAAGGAGGAACTTTCTGCAAAAACGATTGGAGAATAAGGAGCGGTAAGAATTGAAGTGTTAAGTCAGTGTTATTGTTGCTCTTTCTTTAGCTTAGTTTTATGTATTCACTCTTGACATATTCCCAGTATTTTAAAAAAGGTATCAACTATGTAGCTACCTTATAATTTAGATTTTGGAAAATTTTGAAAGCTCATAACTTTTTCTATTATAGATAGAAAGCTGAATTTTTCAGCGATTTTTATTCCAGTAAAGGACTACAATCCCTGAAAATTTCATCTCATTTAGACTTATAGTTCCTAAGATAAAATCATGTTAAGCAATTTGGGGTGATTTATCAATTTTTCAATTTTTCTGAGTGTCTTTTTTCATAGATTTCGGCTTCAAATCTGAGAATAATTTAGTTTATGGAGTTCAGGGTATCACGAAGGACCAGTAGGACACAAAATCTCGACAAAAAAAAATTTGAAATTTCATCGTTTTAGTAAGAAGGTACCCCCCTTATGATTTTTTTGGAAAACTTTGAAAGGTCATAACTTTTTTTCTATTATAGATAGAAAGCTGAATTTTTCAGCCATTTTTATTCCAGTAGAGGACTACAATCCCTGAAAATTTCATCTCGCTTGGACTTATAGTTCCTGAGATAAAATCGTGTTAAGCAATTGGGGTGATTTATCAATTTTTCAATTTTTCTGAGTGTCTTTTTTCATAGATCTTGGCTTCAAATCTGAGAATAATTTAGTTTATGGAGTTCAGGGTATCACGAAGGACCAGTAGGACACAAAATCTCGACAAAAAAAAAATTGAAATTTCATCGTTTTAGTAAGAAGGTACCCCCCTTATGATATTTTTGGAAAACTTTGAAAGGTCATAACGTTTTTTGTATTATAGATAGAAAGCTGAATCTTTCACTGAATTTTATCCCTTTCAAAGGACTACAATTCCTGAAAATTTCAGCTCATTTGCACTTATAGTTCCTGAGATAAAATCGTGTTAAGCAATTGGGGTGATTTATCAATTTTTCAATTTTTCTGAGTGTCTTTTTTCATAGATCTTGGCTTCAAATCTGAGAATAATTTAGTTTATGGAGTTCAGGGTATCACGAAGGACCAGTAGGACACAAAATCTCAACAAAAAAAAAATTGAAATTTCATCGTTTTAGTAAGAAGGTACCCCCCTTATGATATTTTTGGAAAACTTTGAAAGGTCATAACGTTTTTTGTATTATAGATAGAAAGCTGAATCTTTCACTGAATTTTATCCCTTTCAAAGGACTACAATTCCTGAAAATTTCATCTCGCTTGGACTTATAGTTCCTGAGATAAAATCGTGTTAAGCAATTGGGGTGATTTATCAATTTTTCAATTTTTCTGAGTGTCTTTTTTCATAGATCTTGGCTTCAAATCTGAGAATAATTTAGTTTATGGAGTTCAGGGTATCACGAAGGACCAGTAGGACACAAAATCTCGACAAAAAAAAATTTGAAATTTCATCGTTTTAGTAAGAAGGTACCCCCCTTATGATTTTTTTGGAAAACTTTGAAAGGTCATAACTTTTTTTCTATTATAGATAGAAAGCTGAATTTTTCAGCGATTTTTATTCCAGTAGAGGACTACAATCCCTGAAAATTTCATCTCGCTTGGACTTATAGTTCCTGAGATAAAATCGTGTTAAGCAATTGGGGTGATTTATCAATTTTTCAATTTTTCTGAGTGTCTTTTTTCATAGATCTTGGCTTCAAATCTGAGAATAATTTAGTTTATGGAGTTCAGGGTATCACGAAGGACCAGTAGGACACAAAATCTCAACAAAAAAAAATTTGAAATTTCATCGTTTTAGTAAGAAGGTACCCCCCTTATGATTTTTTTGGAAAACTTTGAAAGGTCATAACTTTTTTTCTATTATAGATAGAAAGCTGAATTTTTCAGCGATTTTTATTCCAGTAGTGGACTACAATCCCTGAAAATTTCATCTCGCTTGGACTTATAGTTCCTGAGATAAAATCGCGTTAAGCAATTGGGGTGATTTATCAATTTTTCAATTTTTCTGAGTGTCTTTTTTCATAGATCTTGGCTTCAATCTGAGAATAATTTAGTTTATGGAGTTCAGGGTATCACGAAGGACCAGTAGGACACAAAATCTCAACAAAAAAAAAATTGAAATTTCATCGTTTTAGTAAGAAGGTACCCCCCTTATGATATTTTTGGAAAACTTTGAAAGGTCATAACGTTTTTTGTATTATAGATAGAAAGCTGAATCTTTCACTGAATTTTATCCCTTTCAAAGGACTACAATTCCTGAAAATTTCATCTCGCTTGGACTTATAGTTCCTGAGATAAAATCGTGTTAAGCAATTGGGGTGATTTATCAATTTTTCAATTTTTCTGAGTGTCTTTTTTCATAGATCTTGGCTTCAAATCTGAGAATAATTTAGTTTATGGAGTTCAGGGTATCACGAAGGACCAGTAGGACACAAAATCTCGACAAAAAAAAATTTGAAATTTCATCGTTTTAGTAAGAAGGTACCCCCCTTATGATTTTTTTGGAAAACTTTGAAAGGTCATAACTTTTTTTCTATTATAGATAGAAAGCTGAATTTTTCAGCGATTTTTATTCCAGTAGAGGACTACAATCCCTGAAAATTTCATCTCGCTTGGACTTATAGTTCCTGAGATAAAATCGCGTTAAGCAATTGGGGTGATTTATCAATTTTTCAATTTTTCTGAGTGTCTTTTTTCATAGATCTTGGCTTCAAATCTGAGAATAATTTAGTTTATGGAGTTCAGGGTATCACGAAGGACCAGTAGGACACAAAATCTCGACAAAAAAAAATTTGAAATTTCATCGTTTTAGTAAGAAGGTACCCCCCTTATGATTTTTTTGGAAAACTTTGAAAGGTCATAACTTTTTTTCTATTATAGATAGAAAGCTGAATTTTTCAGCGATTTTTATTCCAGTAGAGGACTACAATCCCTGAAAATTTCATCTCGCTTGGACTTATAGTTCCTGAGATAAAATCGTGTTAAGCAATTGGGGTGATTTATCAATTTTTCAATTTTTCTGAGTGTCTTTTTTCATAGATCTTGGCTTCAAATCTGAGAATAATTTAGTTTATGGAGTTCAGGGTATCACGAAGGACCAGTAGGACACAAAATCTCAACAAAAAAAAATTTGAAATTTCATCGTTTTAGTAGGAAGGTACCCCCCTTATGATTTTTTTGGAAAACTTTGAAAGGTCATAACTTTTTTTCTATTATAGATAGAAAGCTGAATTTTTCAGCGATTTTTATTCCAGTAGAGGACTACAATCCCTGAAAATTTCATCTCGCTTGGACTTATAGTTCCTGAGATAAAATCGTGTTAAGCAATTGGGGTGATTTATCAATTTTTCAATTTTTCTGAGTGTCTTTTTTCATAGATCTTGGCTTCAAATCTGAGAATAATTTAGTTTATGGAGTTCAGGGTATCACGAAGGACCAGTAGGACACAAAATCTCAACAAAAAAAAATTTGAAATTTCATCGTTTTAGTAAGAAGGTACCCCCCTTATGATTTTTTTGGAAAACTTTGAAAGGTCATAACTTTTTTTCTATTATAGATAGAAAGCTGAATTTTTCAGCGATTTTTATTCCAGTAGAGGACTACAATCCCTGAAAATTTCATCTCGCTTGGACTTATAGTTCCTGAGATAAAATCGTGTTAAGCAATTGGGGTGATTTATCAATTTTTCAATTTTTCTGAGTGTCTTTTTTCATAGATCTTGGCTTCAAATCTGAGAATAATTTAGTTTATGGAGTTCAGGGTATCACGAAGGACCAGTAGGACACAAAATCTCGACAAAAAAAAATTTGAAATTTCATCGTTTTAGTAAGAAGGTACCCCCCTTATGATTTTTTTGGAAAACTTTGAAAGGTCATAACTTTTTTTCTATTATAGATAGAAAGCTGAATTTTTCAGCGATTTTTATTCCAGTAGAGGACTACAATCCCTGAAAATTTCATCTCGCTTGGACTTATAGTTCCTGAGATAAAATCGTGTTAAGCAATTGGGGTGATTTATCAATTTTTCAATTTTTCTGAGTGTCTTTTTTCATAGATCTTGGCTTCAAATCTGAGAATAATTTAGTTTATGGAGTTCAGGGTATCACGAAGGACCAGTAGGACACAAAATCTCGACAAAAAAAAATTTGAAATTTCATCGTTTTAGTAAGAAGGTACCCCCCTTATGATTTTTTTGGAAAACTTTGAAAGGTCATAACTTTTTTTCTATTATAGATAGAAAGCTGAATTTTTCAGCGATTTTTATTCCAGTAGAGGACTACAATCCCTGAAAATTTCATCTCGCTTGGACTTATAGTTCCTGAGATAAAATCGTGTTAAGCAATTGGGGTGATTTATCAATTTTTCAATTTTTCTGAGTGTCTTTTTTCATAGATCTTGGCTTCAAATCTGAGAATAATTTAGTTTATGGAGTTCAGGGTATCACGAAGGACCAGTAGGACACAAAATCTCAACAAAAAAAAATTTGAAATTTCATCGTTTTAGTAAGAAGGTACCCCCCTTATGATTTTTTTGGAAAACTTTGAAAGGTCATAACTTTTTTTCTATTATAGATAGAAAGCTGAATTTTTCAGCGATTTTTATTCCAGTAGAGGACTACAATCCCTGAAAATTTCATCTCGCTTGGACTTATAGTTCCTGAGATAAAATCGTGTTAAGCAATTGGGGTGATTTATCAATTTTTCAATTTTTCTGAGTGTCTTTTTTCATAGATCTTGGCTTCAAATCTGAGAATAATTTAGTTTATGGAGTTCAGGGTATCACGAAGGACCAGTAGGACACAAAATCTCAACAAAAAAAAATTTGAAATTTCATCGTTTTAGTAGGAAGGTACCCCCCTTATGATTTTTTTGGAAAACTTTGAAAGGTCATAACTTTTTTTCTATTATAGATAGAAAGCTGAATTTTTCAGCGATTTTTATTCCAGTAGAGGACTACAATCCCTGAAAATTTCATCTCGCTTGGACTTATAGTTCCTGAGATAAAA